CATTAAAAGAATAATAGTGTTCATATGTTAACTGGAAGCATAACCTGTACACATATATGGAAACTTAGGAAAGAATATTATGGATATTACGGAGATCTCAAAAGACAATATTGAATCAGGCAGTGGACTTCTGGTTTTTTTTTTATTTTTTTTCCCCCCTTCCAGTTAGGTCTATTTGTTTATTTAAAACAAAAGTGCTTTTTTTTTTCATGCTCTGAAATGAGAAAAAAAAAAAAAGTGTGGGAAAAGACAGGATGTCTTTTACTACCAGATAAGCACTGGGTGGAAGAGCCTGGTAGCTTTTTAATTTTTCTCCAATTTACCATGTTTTCTGTGAGCAAATAAACCACTCTAGGAAAGATTGATTTGTTAAAAATCTTCGTAATTACGTGGGATTCACATGCCTCACTTGTCTTGTTCCTGCTGTGTAGAAACCTTTTCTGGCCAGTTAGGTCTACCAGGGTCTTTCCTGAGGGGATTCACTCAACATCCAAAGGTAAATGAAGGCACTTGTTATGATGAGCACTGGGTGTTATATGTAAGTGATGAATCACTAAATTCTACTCCTGAAACCAATACTAAATTACATGTTAGCTAAATGGAATTTAAATAAAAATTTGAAAAAAATATAATGCATTCTATTCAGCTACTCTCTTTATATTCCTTAAATGAAAGAAATAGGTTGCCCAATAAATGCTTTTACTGCATTTATTGTGGTTGGTCAGTTAAACAAGAATCGATACAGAAATTAATAGAGTATATGATCATACCATATACATTTTAACTTATAACATGTAAATATATGCTACCTTCCAATCTTTTCATCTAGGGTCAGAAGCTATTTCCTTAATAGAGGTTGACTGTGAGAGTTTAGAGTTGTCTTTCTTTCATAAACCATAGGCATATGAATTCCACTTTATGTTTCTTTCAAATGGAGTATGAGTTTAAAAATGCCCATCAAACAGTCTGAATGTAGAACTATTTCTCATCTTTTACGGTTGATTTATCCTCACCTACTTGGGAAACACTTTTCTTAGAGACTTGATGATTTTGAAAGCATTGAGTTTAGTTTTCTTAAAAATTATAGCTCTCACTGTTCCTATTTCACCAGTTATGTAATATTTAATTCATTAGACATTAATCTTTATAGATGTGGAAAAAAATTCAAAGTGATGTGAGCCCAAATAACTGAGCATTCTAGAAACAGCCTGGTAAGATCTCCCAGTGATCAATGCAATGGGCAGTGTGTTTTGCAGAGGAACTGAAGTATATTGGTCAATCAGAACAAAAAAACTAAGTAGTGATTGGTTTTGAAAACTTTGTGAAATTTTTTTGTTCTTTTGATTAAAACTAGCTTTATTCATAAGGTTTTAGGTATCTTCTGTCATTATTGTATTTGGGAAGAGGGTTACTTAAAGGTGAAACTAAATATTTGAATAAACAAAAACTGTAATAGCCATGGTCTTCAGAAAGAAAAAGAATATATAATGGTTTAATTTTAAGTTGCCTCAAGTCCTCTTTTTTAAAATAAACTTTATATTTTAGAATAATCTGAGATTTACAGAAAACTGCAAAGATAGTACACATAATTGCCCCTATTTCCTCTGTTGTTTTCTTTTTTCATTTGTTTTTGCCAAATACTCCTTAACATTTTTTTATTTGAATATAGTTGATGTTACATTAGTTTCAGGTGTACAACTTGATTCAACTTCACTATATGTTTCATTGAAAGAGTTGTTTTTCTATGGATTATAATGATAGTCTCTAAGGACTTTCTTTTGCTAATTTTAAGAAGTTAATCTTAGGGGCACCTCGGTGGCTCAGTCGGTTAAGCATCTGCCTTTGGCTCAGGTCATGATCCCAGGTCCTGGGTCCTGCTCTGCTCAGCGGGGAGCCTGTTTCTCCCTCCATCTGCCTGCGGCTCTGCCTGCTTGTGCTCTGTCAAATAAATGAATAAAATCTTAAAAAAAAAAAAAGTCAATCTTAGTAACTTCAAATCTACCGATGACCAAAATTCTTTAAAATTTAGTTATAAGAATGTGGTCTCTGGAGTCAAACGGTCTGAGTTCAGCTCCACCCCTTAATAATGATAGGACCTTAGGTTAAGTTATTGAACCTCCCTAAGCCTCAATTTCCTTTCCTGTAAAATGGGACAGATAACAATACCTATCTGTATTAATCTTGGGGCATAGGAAGTGCTCAATGTCCATTTATTTTAATAAGTTGGAATAGACATTAGTGGCCATTTAATATAATTTCTTATTTGTAAATCTTTATTTTACATCACTGCTGTGTATCATATTCTGTAACTAGACTGAATTGCACATAGTTCTCTTAACACTGGAAGATATTTTATACTCCTTAGAAATACTCTTCCCTTCATGGACTACCTGGCAGATTCCTCCTACTCACCCTTCCTCAGTCTACATATCTTCATTCATTTGGTCACTTAGTCATCATCTAACATTTTTTAAAAACATTCACTCTAAATGGCATCCTCTTTCTGGAAACACATCTACCAGCAAATTAAACATAAATAGAATTAACACTGCTTAGAAGAGTGCCCGTTGAATATGCATCTTAGATCATTTTCCTCTTTAGAAAACTGATCCCACACGGTACATGTTCAGTAATAACTCCAGCTGCTTGCTGGTAAGATAGTATTTCTTCCCCAAATGTATTTCTTCTGTGTATTTTTGTGCTCCACCAGCTTTGTTCATTTTTAGAAAGCTTTTAGGCCCATTACTAACAGTAAACCAGATACTTAGCTGAGACATATTTTTTCTGAAACATTGTCAGCAATGGACAAGTAGGAAGTGATTAAAAGGAGAAAAGCTTTAACAACTATTCACAAAATTCCCTATCCTTGTGAAACTCACATATGTAATAAGTTAACACTAATTGCTAGACTTAACACTTGCTGAACAGAATCTTGTTTTAAATAAAAAGGATGTAATATGGAGGCAGACTCATCACACCAATATCACATTGCACATGTTAACTGCAATTTCTGTTTAGAACTCTAAGAACTTCTCTGATAGTACCTTGTATCATTTAAGAATTCATTTTCATTTAAGAATTCATAATTCATAATTCATTTAAGAATTTAAGAATTCAGGGCGCCTGGGTGGCTCAGATGGTTAAGCGTCTGCCTTCGGCTCAGGTCATGATCCCAGGGTCCTGGATCAAGTCCCGCATCAGGCTTCCTGCTCCTTGGGAGCCTGCTTCTCCCTCTGCCTCTCTCTCTCTCTCTCTGTCTCTCATGAATAAATAAATAAAATCTTAAAAAAAAAAAGAATTTAAGAATTCATTTTCATCTGTGTGAACCTGAAGCTTAATTATATTCTTTAAAAAACAGTGCTCACCTAACTGATAAACACGAGAAAAGGGAAACGGTCAGTGATCATGTGTTCTCACAGATCTGATATTCTTCAAATATCATAAAAAAGGTATTTTGAATAGTTTCAATATAAATACAGAACACAAGCATGATTCTATGTTTGAACATAAATATATATATACACATACACACACATTAATGTTCAGGTATACATACGAATAAGAATGTGGAAAACTACCCCTTGGGTCAGTGCATGATAAATTTATTATTGTAAAATTATTTTACGGCTCTTACTACAAAATAAGATCCTGCAACCAAAATTAGAACTAAAAGGCCACTCATTGAGCTTGTCCTCCAAAAGCATAGTAATTTCCTCATCAGTCCTGCTCTCAAAGGTATGAACAGGAAGGAGGAAATCACTGAGGATGTCAAGGAAAATGAATATACGGCTCCAGCTTTAGTTTCTGGCAAGACTGATCTGGAAAGAAGCGTTCAGGAAAAGACAGTCAAGAGATGACAGATGTGCGGACGGCTACAGCTCGAAGTCAGGAAGTCTGTTTCTCAAGTAGCACCGAAAGGAACGACTCAAGCAGGACAGTATGCAGACCCCCCGCCGCCCCCGCCCACCCAGCCCCGTCCCCCTCCCGCGCTTTCCCCTCGGAGCGGCCGCGAGGCAGCGGCGGCTCCGCCCCGGCAGAGCCCCTCAGGTCACAAACGTTCTCGGTCTGGGTCCGACTTTCCTCGAACCCCCTCCGCCCCCCAGTGAGTGTTCGGGCTGACAGTGTCCTCGTCCTTTCTGCAAGCTCAAGGTTAACAGCCCCGGCTCTCAGCCTCTCCCCAGGCGACGAGCCCAGCGGTGCTTCACCCAGTCCCCAGGAGGGGACGCAGTACAATGGTTGGCTGGGTTTTACCGGATTTCCCAATACGGGCGTGGTGTCACCGACAGGGCCCCGCGTGAGAAATCGTTTAGCTTGGGGGGCGGGGGGTGGTCAGCGCAGTCCCTGTGGTAACACCTTAGTTCACGTTAGCCGCCCCGCCGCCCCCGCAGCTCCCGCTTTCCTCCCGAAAAGCCCAGGGCGTCCGTGACAGAGGCGAGCGGGGGGCGGTTTTGCACGTGACGCCAAAGGAACGCTCATCCTTCCTCCCGAGCTGGAGGGCGCAGGACGCGCGGCGCCAGCACCACGCACGGCGGCTTCCAGAGGTGGTGCTGCCAGAGTTCTCTCGTTTCCTGGTTACGTGCGTGCTAGCAGAGGCGAAAACCTTCGCTCGCGACTCCCGCTTCTCCATAGGGACCAAAGGGCCGGGCACGCTGGTGTGGGACGTGCCAAACTCAGCGCGCCTCATGGCTGCCGCCGGACCGCCCCCCCCCCCCACCCCGCCCAGCGCCCTCGGCGGCGCACGCGCACTGCGGCTCCGCCGGGGCTACTTAGGGCCCCGCCCCGAGGTGGGCGGGCCTGGCGCCTCCCGGCTGGCCAATCGGCTGGCAAACCCGCGCCTCGGTCCCCAGCCAGCCTCGCGGGGGCACGTGCCGGTGTTTGTGTACGTGCTGCTCCCGCAGGGCGGGGAAAGGGCCGGCAGCCCGCGGGGCGAGGCTGCGGGGGCGCGGCCAGGGCTGGGGCGCGGCGGCGGGGGGCCGGCCCCCTGGCCCGGGCAATCTAAATCCTCCCGCACTCCGGCCGGCTGTGCACTCTTACCTGCCGGTCCGCAGCGCCTGCCCCGCCGCTCTGCACTCCCAAGGCCTGCCGTCCTCTGCTGTAGGCGGAAAATGCTGTTGCTTGATTGCAACCCGGAGGTGAGACGCGGGCCCCTTTCGTCCTGCAGGCTTACTTCTCCGGGTGTCTGTCTGCTCGGGAGCACTGGCGAGGGGGACTGAGCACGGCGCGCTGCCGAGGCAGGCCTCTTCAGAGTTAGATTTGGGGCGTGGGGGAAGATTCTCGACCGCGGGAGAGCGCGGGACTGGATACAGGCAAGAGGGGTGCTCGAGCTGCTGTTCTCCCGCAGGTGGATAGTCTGAAGCATCTGCTGGAGGCCGGCGCCTCGGTCAACGCACCCCCGGATCCCTGCGAGCAGTCGCCTGTCCACTTGGCCGCAGGGGGCGGCCTTGCTTGCTTGCTTCTGTGGCAGCTGCAAACTGGCGCCGACCTCAACCAGCAGGTAACTAGGTTACTGACTGTCGCTGTGTACAACCCTCCCCTCCACCCGGATCCACACCAACGTTTCGCAGACGCCAAAATACGGTTTCCCTTGCTGTAAACGTGGCTCTCGCAGAGATGTCTGATCGAAATATAAAGGGAGACACTTAAGAAATGTAAAGCCTTCTAGTAGCCACATTAATAAGATGAAACATGAAATTTTATGATTTAACTCAATTTACCTCAATATTTCAGTATGTAATCAATTTAAGGCATTACTTATATTTTCCATTTTCTTTTCAGACTTCTCAGTCTGGTGTGTATTTTACATTTCCAGCCACATTTCAAGTGCTCTTTAGCCATCTGTATGGCTCCTGGCTAGGATATTGCTCAGCATACGTAGGTCTACAGTTTATTTCAAAAGCAACAGTTGCTACATTACCAAATTAAAAGTCGCAGTCCGGTAATTAAATAACAGTTGTGAGGCCAACTTTCAACTATTACAGTTTTCTACAGAACTTTCTTACGGTAGTCTGCCTCGCCCACTGAACATTAAAGTAGGGTGAGTTTAAATTGTAAATCGTTTTACCTTTGTAATACTCTGCTTTTTATTCACCTGAGTGTTAATGTAGGTGGTTGTGGCTGCATGTGTTTTTATTGATGAAAACTTTGTATTTAATAGAGCACCAAGTGAACTTTATTGAAAAAAACCCTTGAATTAAAAAATTCAGTACAGTGTGGTTCTAACTGGCTTTCTTAAACAGTAATTAGACTTCCCCTACCAACTTCCACGGAAACTGTTTCGGGGAGAGACTAAAACGTGCTGTCTTCCCTTTAAGGATGTTTTTGGAGAGGCTCCGCTACACAAGGCAGCAAGAGTGGGAAGTCTGGAGTGCCTTAGCCTGCTCGTAGCCAGGGATGCCCAAATTGAGTAAGTATAAAATCAGTGTCTTCAAATTTTGTATTTTCTTGGATTAAGCTAATCAAACTCCTGAAGCTGAATTACATGTGCTTTTACAAATGCTTGCCTACCTAATTGACAATTTAGAGTTGTCATTTAAATGTTAATTTAGGCTGTTAATGATACCTAATACTATTAAATTTAAGTAAAAAAATGGATCCTTAGCAATCAGAGGTGCAGTTCTGTTCATCTCTTGTGGCAGTATTACATCTTAGCTTTGGTTTGGGATAATCCCTTCTATAAAAGTTCTCATTGACTTCCTTTGAGTATTACTTATTATATCGAGCACAGAACACTCATTCATTCAAAAATGGAATGTCCACTCTGTGCTGAACTCTGCGCCAGCCTCTTAGGGTGCAATAGCAGGGAATATTGGAATTTCTCTGATTCCTTTACTACCTCTGTTCTGAAACCAACATTTGTATGAGCCCAAAGCTCCTTTGTAGAAGGATATAATAAAAACTAAACTAAACAAGTACCAATTTTTATGTAACTCAGTTTTTGTCTTAAATTCAGTTTATGTAATAAGAATGGACAAACAGCTGAAGATCTTGCTTGGGCCTGTGGATTTCTAGAATGTGCCAAGTTTCTTACAACAATTAAATGTATGCAGACAATAAAATCAAGTGACCGATCCGATAGAGATCATTGTGTTCCAGTGCCCAGACAGAAACGAAGTTTTGGAAGTGTAGAAAATACAACTGGAAAAAGGAAGTGTTGGTAAGTAACTCAGTACTGTTTTCTTCCTCCCTCAGGGATTGCTTATTCAGCAGTTGTTTCATTTAAACATCGGCAGTCTTATTTCTAGTGTATCTTTTTATTTTTGTGAACACATTTTAATACTGGTTATAGTAAGTTCTGCTAGATTTTAGAGGCCAGAAATCATCCTGCACAATGGAAGGATGGGGAGGAAACCTTTTTTAAAAAGTTCTTAATGTCACTTACGTTTTTTAACCACAGATTCACGCTGGTCCTGAAAAGGTTTGAAGAAAGCCTTCACTCCGTGCAGATCCACTGCCCAGCCAGAAGCTATGGCTTTTGGCTCACCAGGTGTATCTCAGCTCCTTCTAGGAAGGAGGAAAACTTTCTTCTAAGTGAAGATAACATTTAAGAATACATGTTTTTACATGCCTGTAATATTTTGGTTGTGCCTGCTTTTTGTCTTTTAAGTTATTAAAGAATACTAAAGAATAAACTGTTTTCTTTGTGTAGTTATCTGCAGCCTTTGAAAAAAACTGTAGTTTAAACCATCAGACTACACCCAGGATTTAAAGCGAAGTTAAACTTAGTCTTTATTAACAAATTTATAATACAACTTTACTACAGCCTTTGAGTCTAAGATATTTTAAAAAATATTTGGTCGCTGAGGAAGACATAAATTATAGTAAGCATCTTTGTTCCAAAAGTCTGGGCCCTTCCATCCACACCAGCCCTAGATTTGGGAGAAGGGAAAGGAAAACCTTTTACTAGATTATAGGATTACATGATCAAAACTGTAACATTCTACAATCCCATTCTGTCAGCTGGATCCCAGAATAAGACTACTTATATAACTCAAAAGATTTGAACTCCTATAAAGCATAGGAAAGTAACATACTTGAGTCCATTTCAGATAGAGTTAAAAAATTTTTAATTTTACAGTATTTAATCATAGATAAAAAAGAAAAAGCTTCCTTATGGTAACTGTTACTCCAAATATCACATTTTTTTTAACATCTTTTTTTAAAAAAGATTTTATTTATTTATTTGACACAGAGAGCGAGAGAGCACAAGCAGGGGGAGCAGTAGAGGGAGAGGGAGAAGCAGGCTTCCTGCCAAGCAGGGAGCCCGATGTGGGCCTTGATCCCAGGACCCTGAGATCATGACCTGAGCCGAAGGCAGACACTTAACCATCTGAGCCACCCAGGCGCCTCCCAAATACCACATTTTTACTGAGTCTAAGTTTTATAATTCTGGCAGTCAATGGCAGGTAGGTCATAGTTGAATTGGCAATCTGTTTTTCTTAGCAGTCCTTTAAAGGCTGTCTTAGGGACCACGCTGTGTGTCTTAGCTATGAGGAAGTGTGGCAGGGAGAAATCTGTGCTGGCCTCTTGAATTGCCCTTCACTGTCCTCAGGCTATAATCCTTCCACTTTCCATTCTTTTCCATCGTTTTCCCCAGCAGAGAAAATTACTTTCAAACAAAGTCTCACTGTGAATACAAATTCACAAAATCTCTTCTAGAGCCATTGATTTATTTTCTTAAAGACCCAGCTAATGACTAGTCCGAGTTATCTGAAATGAAATGCTTTGCTTGCAAAATACTTGTTAGGAGGCCAGCTAGAACTCTTAAATACCACTGGGTGAGTGACAAGTAGTGTGGTCTTATCCCTTAGCCTAACTAACTTGGAAGCTGCTGTGTCTTCTGGCAGTGACCTAGAGCTAAAGTTCATGGTTTCTACAGAAGATAGTGCGTAGCTCTATTTTTTAGTGTGGAGGTTGGAGGGCTGAGTAGAGACGCTCTTTAATTTTTGCATTTTTCTTTCTCTGATTGCAAAAATAAGATCTACATTATCAAAGTTCAAATGAAAGTAAAAAGTCCTCCATCAGTCCTATCTGCCCCCAGGTAACTGCAAAATTTGTGGGTTTTTTTTTTTTTTTGTCTTTGAGACCTGTTTCTATATGTAAATAAGCTTCTTTTTTATTATCTTTTTAAGCAAAACTTTTTCTAATAAATTTAATGTCCTAAAATCTGTTTTCTTAATGATGAATAAAGGCTTATACTCTCTGTTTTAATCTTTTAGGCTTTTCCAGATAACCAGACTCAAATTATTTTATAAAGAGAAGTGGGTAGAGAGGATGCCCAAACCAGAAACTGAGGGGAGTAGACAGGGTGCTCTTTTTCTCTGAGGCGACAAGTTCCCTTTGGGAACTTCAAACAGGAAAGTTCCACAAGAGGGTCAAGAGAGGTCAAGCAGAGGCAGAACTGTCCCTACAGCCCTTGCTAGACTGAATGTTTGTGTCCTTCCAAAATTCATGTTGAAAGCTAGTCTCTAAGGTGATGGTATGTGGAGGCGGGGCCTTTGGGACGTGACTAGGTTATGAGAGTGAAGCCCTCATGAATGGGATTAGTGCCTTCATTAAGGAGGCCCCTTCCACTGTGCAGATACAGTGAAAAAGTCTGCTGTCTGTGAACTCGTAGGTGGGGCTCACCAGACCAAACCTGCTGGTGCCTTGGATTTCCCTGCTCCCAGAAGTGTGAGGAATACATTTCTATTGTTTATAAGCCAAGCAGGCTATGGTGTTGTTACAGCAGCCCAGGCTCTGAGACACTGCTCTAGATTCTCGAGTCGGTGAGAGTCAATACTACTGACGGCCAGGCCTTGGCTTCGTGGTTCCTTATACGTGCGAAAAGGGCAGAGGGTTTTCTACAATTGAAAACTCTACAGAAATCTAACTAGCAAAGAAGGACAGTACAATCCTCAGAGAAAGTAATCAGGGACAATGCCTTATTCTATACAACTGCTTCAGAAAACCCTATCTAGACAATTCCATCTACTGCAAAGTTCCTCAAACTAGCCAGAAAGAAGTAATCATACCTCTCATTAAAATAATGAAGGCTCCTCATTGCCTCTAAGTTAAAATCTAAGTGCTCTGCTTCTCGGCCTGGCTCACAGTTTTAGCCCTTGCCTATCCCTCCAGCCACACCTCCTCGCCGGCTCTAATCATGTCAAACTGCCAAAACTGGGCATGTTCTGGGAACATGGCCTGCTGTCCTTTCACGGTCTCTAAAGGATCCCTCTACTGATCAGCCTTGTAAACTCTACCTTCGATAACCGTATTTTTTCTGGGGAATACTTTTCGGATCTCTTTTGTCTTCTACACTAGACTAAGAGCTTTTTTTTTTTTTTTTTTAATATTTTATTTATTTGACAGAGACACAGCGAGAGAGGGAACACAAGCAGGGGGAGTGGGAGAGGGAGAAACAGGCCTCCCGCCGAGCGGGGAGCCTGATGTGGGGCCCGATCCCAGGACCCTGATATCATGACCCGAGCCGAAGGCAGACGCTTAACGACTGAGCCACCCAGGCGCCCCTAGACTAAGAGCTTCTTAAAGACCTTTTTTAATACCCCTATTGCTTCGGATAGTGGACGTGTCTTAGTACTTAATGATGAGTGAGGGACCACTTGGCTACAGAAAGAGAGTAAATATTGCTCCCACTTCCGTGTGCTGGCAGAAAACATTTCACAGATTTCCAAGTCCAAATGCCTTGAAAGATAAAAGCACGACACATTTATCTCCTGTATTTATAGTCTTATCGCTGGCGAAATAGTTTACTAAACTGGGCTATAAAAGAATTCAGCCACACACACACCAAAGCTCTTTATGTACTAAACCCCTCATCCTTAGGGCTTTGGTAACTTCATGCAGTTACATTCTGTTCAACTTCTGAAAGTGTCTCACGAATGAATTTCAATGCTAAACCACCCAAATCCCTAGGAATTGTGTTTAAAAAAAAAAAAAAAAAGATGACCTAATTATACTACAACTTCAAAATTCAGAGAAGGCTTTTTATTGGTTATTAGCGATGTTGACTTAAGTGGCAACACAAGAAAAATGAAGGGTAGTGGGTAATAGTAGGATATATTCATTGGTTTGTGGCTGAAAAGGTTGTATGCATTCTTTGTAATTTTAATATATTTGGCAAAAAATATAGAAGTTAAAATTCAAGTTATGTCTTATTATACTTGCCTTCTAAAGTTTTAGTATGAGTTTTCACATGTGAGAATTAGCTGCCTATGCATTAGGTTAAACTTATACCTCCTTTTTTTTTTTTTTAAAGATTTTATTTATTTATTTGACACAGAGAGACACAGTGAGAGAGGGAACACAAGCAGGGGGAGTGGGAGAGGGAGAAGCAGGCTTCCCGCCGGGCAGGGAGCCCGATGCGGGGCTCGATCCCAGGACCCTGAGACCATGACCTGAGCCGAAGGCAGACACTTAACGACTGAGCCACCCAGGCGCCCTAAACTTATACCTCCTTTAACTGGTATTGTAAGTATCTACGAATACTCTTAAATTTGTCTCAAATCCAAATCCTTTCTAGAATGAGAATAAATTATATATAAATAAATTAGACGTAGTCAAGCCTCCATAATGTCCAACATACTACTTAAAATAGGTTAGTAATACAATTATAAAGGTTATTTAACCCACTCTATTTTAATACATTTGTTTATGCAAAACTGTAACATCTCCAAAAGAATATATTTATAAGCTCTTGGTTCCATTATTAAGTTCAATAACTAAGAAAGTCCTCATAAATCTAACCTGAATTTTGTTCTTTGCAATTCACTTTAGTTCCCTCTGGGACCTGGACAGTGTCTCTATCCAAAGAGATCGTCCTCACAGCCCTAGAATACCTCCTGATAGTGTATATCACAGCCCTTGGTTTATAGTCTTTCTGTTAACGGCCAGTTTGTTCTCCTTTGCTTCTGGGTTCTTTGCCTTGCATCTACATTTGTGTTAAAAAGATACTTACCTTTTCCAAAATAACTTGTAGATCTTCAGCGCCTGTATAATGTGGATCTAAAATCAGAAATTTTATCTGCCCTGTAATCTCATTCCATGCCACTCCTAGTATTGTGTGGGCCAGAACTCCTCCCCCTACAGCAAGAGAAATATGAAATATGAGAGGGCATGTATGAGTCGCAACTTCTTATTCAATTTCTTTTTTTTTTTAAAGATTTTATTTATTTATTTGACAGAGAGAGACACAGCGAGAGCAGGAACACAAGCAGGGGGAGTGGGAGAGGGAGAAGCAGGCTTCCCGCCGAGCAGGGAGCCCGATGCGGGGCTCGATCCCAGAACCCTGGGATCATGACCTGAGCCGAAGGCAGACGCTTAACCATCTGAGCCACCCAGGGGCCCCTCAATTTCAATTTAAAAAGATTATTTGGCCTATTGATTGATATAACACAGTATTAAAGGTGACTAGCCTGTATTATAAAACACCACAATGTCAAGTACACTCTGAGAAGATAAAATTGTATCTTTTAAAATTGGAAAAGATACAATCATATCTGTACTCACATCAGGTTTCTGTTCCACTGCCATATCCATGGGATTACCCACACTGGATTCAGAAAGGGCTATGGAGGGTCACAGTCACCGCTGTGAAGCCTTGCTCAGCACACACGCAATGTTGCCTCTGCTCTGAGGGCCTCCCGTGGGACAGCCCATCTACCCGTTCCGGTCCTCCTGATACTCTGCTAAATCTGTCTCCCTGCGTATCTTACATACCAGTCTTAGTCTGCCTCTGTCATCTCAGATCAAGTCTTGTTCTTCACAGAAGCATCAACATTTAGATCAACTCCTCTGATCCCCTTTACAAATAAAGCCCAGAGAGGTGAAGCAATTTGTATAATGCCACACAGCCAGCCAAGTTAGAGACAGCACCAAGACTTAGTAGGCTCAACTGAGTGACCACGGCCTATTTTCTATACTGTTCTCCACTCTTCAAATATTTCAACAGTTATCACTTCTCTTCTTAGCTTTTACTTCTGGTTATTACAATCTTTCTTATAACTTTCCTCCCACCTTAAAAATTGAAAAATATCCAGAGGTCAGTATGTACGGTATGAAAGCTAATTTTAAAATGTTTAAAAATGACTGATTTTATGTGACATTATTTATATTAACAACAAATTTTACAAATTCTCTTTACCCAAAGAGCCAAAGATGTCCAAAACACCTTACCGATCATGACTGGAGTTCCTTCAGTCTGGAAATGATTAGTCAACTCCCGTCCTTGAGAGGCCATTTCACAACCTTGGCTAGAAAGAAATCATTTTCCATCAGATGAACGATCTTCTCACACTAAGGTCAAATAAGGAGTTTGGGAGCCAGTGTTTTCTACCGTTTTGTTTTCTTTCTTAGTTATTGAAAAAAACAGGAAATAAATTTAAATAACATTAAGTGGTAGGGAACTGACTTGAGAGCAATTTAAAGCACCATAACCTCTCGATGTATTTAGGCCACTAAATGTGTTAGGAAAGAAGCAAGAAGACCTTGCTTCTTTGCTTCTGGAACTGCATAAAGAAGGATTTTTAACGGATGAGTGAAAGTGGTCACCTTGATGGCCATGGGGCTCTTATGGGTGGATTTAATTTCAGAAGAATGAGTTTTAAGTCCTGGGTTCTTGTCTTCTTGCCATCAGACTCCGTCTGTACCTCCTCATCTTTAGACTGGGACCAATCACCCCTGCCCTGTCTACATGACAGGAGATTCGGGATCAAAACAGATGATATCTATGAAGCCAAAGTGAAAACTGCAAAATGTTTTCAAGTACAACGTATTATTTTAGGGAATATTTCAATGTCCTATACAATTTGTCCTTTTGAGAAGAGAGAAAGATGGCCAGATGAAGGGAGATTATTTTTTAGATTGGAGGTGCCAGGTGGTGGCTAATCCTTAGCTCTTGCTTAGTAAGGAACGTACGAAGTTTTAATGTGCCAAAATGTTCACTTTTGAATCACCATATGCTTCACTACTTAATCTATCATTTATTTGTCAGCTCTGGTTTCCACAGACAATCCAAACTGCAATTGTGAAAACATACGTTCTTGGACATAAGCACATGGGACAAAAAAGGATAACGTTACTGTATCTATTGAGGTTATTATAGTAGAAAAAGTATTTAAAACATAGGCTCACTAATAAGGAATAAGCCAGTTATTGTCATAGAAATCAATCTTAGTTATTATTTGTTCATATTTTATTTTTATTTTTTTAAAGATTTATTTACTTTAGAGAGAGTGAGCGAGAGAGAGCGTTTCAAGCAGACTCCATGCTGGGCGCAGAGCCTGACACAGTGCTCGATCCCAGGACCCTGCAATCATGACCTGAATATTTGCTCATATTTTCATGCTAGACTTATGGCTAAACTGTACTGGGAAAAAAATGAATATATTATTTGGACACATTATTAGTTTATTGGCATCTTAAGAAGAAAAAGGGCAGGAGGTACACAGAAAGGGCAGTCATAGATCAACATTTGTTTTTTTCCTTTTAAGACTTTTTAAAGACTTGAGGATAAACAAAAAGTTGATTTTCTGTAACTCCAGTCAAAGTTGACATATTTCCAAGTGTTCCTCTTCTTGGCTAAATTAGGTCTACACCATGCAAGTATATATTGCAAAGTTTACTCATCAACTCAAAGCCTTCTAAAAAATAACCAAAAAATTCAGGGTTTAAAAAATGAGATTTGTAAAGCAATGAGGCAATGTGGAGGAGAGAAAGTAAAAACAGTGAGTAGGAAGAGAAAGGAGAGAATATATAATTTTCCTCTTTTTTAATAAAATGACAAACTTGCTTCGAAATGATATCACTAATTTCTTAAAGTGTCCTCACCTGACAAACAGTATTTTTGAAGTTACACCAATCAGTTGGTTCAGTACCAGCTGTACCTCAATAGATCCAATCCATTGCCGTGATCCAACAAACGTTGCTGGTTTGTCCCCGGCATCAACTAGAGCCTTTGTGTAATTAAAAACACAAAAAAATCCATACACAAGACAACTATTAAAAACTACTTTTAGGACCTTTTCCCTGATTACGAGTATGTTTTTTTTTCCCTTCAAAACAGAAATAAGTCTGTACCACGAGGTAATAATCATTATTAGTAGGATATTAAGGCTAATGAAATGTACAATTGATTAGAATTTTAAATGGCATGTTCTGTACCTGCTGAATTTCCCTGTGTGTTGGAATGGATCTCTCTGTGTAGCCTTGGTGTTTGAACCAAGAGCAGATTGTCTGCAGAGATCGGTAAGCACAGCCCCAACCATTGTCATCCATCCGGTCCTGCATGTAGTGATGATAACCATAGATGCCCTGGACCACATAAATCTATATAAAAAGAATATAGTAACGTACTAATTTAAGATAGATGCACATATTCTATACATATATCCAAGACAAGTTCACTGTTCTCAGAGCTGGACTGTTACTTCAGTTCCTTACAAAAATGCCTTCAGAGAACATGATACTTTCTTGGCTTTTTATTAAATGTCCAGAGTTGTTACCACAGGCTCTAAGGCCTGGCAAGTCCTGCCCTCTGGCCTCCTCTCCAATGTCATCTTGTACCACTTTCCCCTGTTGCTGGCTCTGCTTTAGGTTCAGATATGCCCGGGGCAATCTGATGTCAGAGCCTTATGGTTTGCTCTGCCTGGAACACTTTTCCCAAATAATTTGCAGCTCTGCACCCTTACTTCACTTGGGTCTCTGCTCAAATGTCAGAGGCCTTCCATGATCGTCCAACCTAAAAATGGCATGCTTTACTCCCTCACCACCCACCTCCTGCCGTGGCTGTCACTCTATCCTGCTTTATTTTTTTATTTTTCAAAGCACTACTTGACACCTTACTTATTACTTTTTAAATCTCTGCTTAACCACACTAATATGTGAGTTTGATAAGGGCAAGTATTGTGTCTTCTTTCTTTCTGGGCCCAAGCTTCTACAGTGGGTCTGGCAAACGGTTAATAGTCAATGAATGTTTACTGAATAAATGATGAAGGAAGGAATAAAGGAATGAACAAACAAAGGGGCCATTTAATGGGACATATGAAGAATATTTCTCCAATTTTGTAAACCTGCCATTGATTACAGCCCAGGTATGCTATTTAAATATCCTTAAGTAAAGGCCAAGATCATATAACTTCTTTCTTGTAGTATAATGTTAAGAATACTCATGTGTTTTTTTCTCCACAAACTGGTGTAAGGTAATATTTTTTTAAAAATTAGGTAAGAAGAAGTATGGACAAATATAGAATCCTCACCCAACAATTAGACAATATATTTTCTTCTCAAGCACACACACAAAATTTTTAGCTAGAACATTGTGGTAGGTGGAGAAAGGGTCCCCAAATGGTATCTATCTCCTAATCCCTGGAGCCTGTAAAGGCTACCTTATATGGTCAGAAAGCAAAAAAAGAAAAAAGGGGGGAGGGAAATCTCTGCAGATGTGATTAAATTAAAGATCTTAACATACGGGAAATTTTCCTGGACTATCCAAGGTGGGCCTGAAATGCAACCACAAGCATCCTTGTGAGAGAGCGGAGAGGGAAATCTGACACAGGGGGAGAAGAGGAGGCAACGTGACCACAGAGGCTGATGGGAGCGATGCAGCTAAGCAATGCCAGCAGCCACCACAGCTGGAAGAGGCACGGGATGGATTCTCCCCAAAGCCCTTGCAGGGAGCATGGCCACACTGACACCTGATTTCAGCCTCATTATAGGGATTTCGGACTGGTGGCCTCCACAACTGAGAGAATACATCTGTGTAGTTTTAAGCTACCAAATCTGTGGTTTCTATAGCATCCACAGTAAATGAGTATGTCTCAATAAATTTCAGAATCTGTACCACATAAAAGTTGTTTCTGACCGGCAGGCAAAAGAGTCAGAAATCAGTAAAAATACATACACACATACCTACATAAATAAATTCTAATATATTTGGATGTTAAAAAACACTTTGAAATAATACACAGATTAAATAAGAATCGTAATAGAAGTGTGAAGGTACCTAGAACTGAATAAAACTAAAATACTTCAAATTAAAATCTGTGAAAACAGTGCTTTGCTTGAAATTTAAAACCTTAAAGTAGAGAATAAAAAAGATTAACAATATGCAAAATGCCCAACTTAAGAAGTGAGAAGAAAAACAACGAATCAAAGAAAGTAAAGGAAGAAGAACAAAAAATTGATGAAATAGAATATAGAAGTTACAATAAAGGGGGTCAATAAAGCCAAAACTTAAAAAAAAAAAAAAAAGGCATAAAAATGATATAAAGAATGAAAAAAAAAATCACTACAACTACAGAAGAGACTAAGACCTAGGTAAATAGAACTTAGAAAAATGAAAAAAGTCCTATAACCATTAATAAAATTAAATCTTATTAAGAATGTTCTCACAAAGAAAATGCTAAGCACAGCATTATTTTATAGGTAAGTTTAACCAAATGATCAAAAAAAGATCATGCCGATCCTACAGTAACTCCTCTAGAAAATTAAAAAAATAAAAAAGGGAACGCTCCCCAACTCTTTCCATGAGCCAGGATATTATTGACACAAAAATGAAATAAGAACAATGTGAGGAAAGAAATTCAGAAGCCAATCTTATTCATGAACACATACGTAAAAATCTTAAAATGTTAGCAAATGAAATCCAGCAAAGAATAAAAAGTAATAATGAATCATGCTCATTAATTAGTGTGATTTCTCAGGTTCAAAATGAAAATAAATGGGGATCAGCCTTTAAATAAATTAGGGAATGGAATTTCCATAGGAAAACTGTGGTACATACTATTTATGACCTTTTTAGACTACTGTGAATACTGCTATTTTAAGCAACAATTATTATAAGAAACAGTGGTAAATTTTGTTTTAGAGACGACATACATTCTGAATCAATCCTTAAAACTTCCACTGGATACACACAAAAAATCACCACTGACACGGATTATCAGTTGACTCCATAAATAATTATTAAACTCACCATACCAGTCTCTATGTTAGGTGGATTGAGATAAGTATGCGGATTTCTAATGTAACCATCCTTGTATGGTTCACCTGGAAAGTGATAAGCATTAGACCTTCTGAAATACGGTCTGTCATGAGGCAGATTGAAGAGGTCATGTAATTCCTAAATGAAACCAGAATCAATAGAAGAGAAAAAAGTTAAATAACTCAGACTCCTCACTCATCAGTAAACAAATTCAAACTAAAGACAGAAAACAAAATTAACTATATATTGGCTATAAAAGTTATCAAACACACTTTTAATATAATTCACTAAGGTCGAAGAGAGTGAGATTTAAACTATAACCAAATGAGAGTTATGTATGTTTTTCCATGGATATGGGTCGAAACTAGAAGGGAACACAGAAAAAATGAAAATGCAGTTGAGCCTTGAACAATGTGGGGATTAGAGACACTGAGCCCTCACACTGTCGAAAATCCACATGTAGATTTGACTCCTCAAAAACTGAATAGCCTACTGTTGACTGGAAGGCTTCTGAGAACATACACACGTTAATGACTTATACATATTTTGTATATGTACTATATACTGTATTCTTACAATATAGTAAGCTACAGAAAAGAAAATGTTATTAAGAAAATCGTAAGGAAGGGAAAATACATTTACAGTGCTATACTGTATTTACTGAAAATAATCTGTGTACGAGTGGACTCTTGCAGTTCAAACCTGTGTTATTCAAGGGTCAACTGTAATTTGTCAGAGTGAGAGAAGTCACATAATTTCAAATTAATTATTTATCATAACAGTCTGTTAAAATACATCCAGGCTAAAGACTGGTTTTGAGACAGCCTTGTAAAATGAGTAAGTTGTAATTAACAATGACAGATCTACATGACAGCACTCTGAAAAGTCACGCTTAAAGTACTTAACAAGTACAAGGGGTGGTGAGTAAATTCTGGAGGAGGCATTGGTGGTAGGGAACCAACCAATGTGGCATCAAAATTAAAATACACACACATGTTTCAAATGCAAAATTTTCCCAACTGTATAAAAACGTGGCCCTTCCTCTGTAAAGTCTGACGTTGTCGTTTTCGTGTCTCCTAAGTACTCTCGCAGCCGTTATGGGATCATCTGGCACCTCTGCAGGTCAGGTCCACCAGCACTTACAGACGGAGCAGAGCGTTACAGGACTCGCCCTCCTCTCAGGGACGGGTGCGGAAGATGCTCCCCTGGTATAATTTGATGGGTGCCAGGCAAGACCACACATCAAAAATATGCACTCCAAAACCAGTCATTTCATTAATAAATCTCAGTTCTTTGAATGCTGATCAGGCTTTCTTCAACACGCCTCTAATAAAACCCAAATAACCCTGGGAGGTGGGGGGTAAAGTATTACCATAAATCCTAATTAGAATTAGCATAAATCCTAACTTTCCCTCCCTAACTGTAATCTTGTCTCTTTCACAGATCTGAAAGTAACGGAAGGGAAAAGGAATTTATTTATAAACACTCAGCAGCAGCTCAAGGCATGTAAGCATCTTTTCATTTCTGTATTTCATTATGGAAAAATTTCACAGAACATATGAACCACAATGAGTGTCTGAAATCAAAATGTTACATATGGTTTAGCATATATTTTCATTAACATACTTTTTAAAAAGTTATATGTCAATAGAAATTAAATAACACGTAAAAATAGTAGTCTGATTCTACTTTCATATTAAATCATAAAATAAGTTCCACTTATTAGAAATGTTTAAGTAAATATAAAATGAATGATGGTCATAGTTTTTCTAAGAATAAGTGTATTAGCTTTACTTTTCTTTCTTTCCCTTTTTTTTTTAAAGATTTTATCATTTGACAGAGAGAGAGAGAAAGCACAAGCAGGGGGAGTGGCAGAGGGAGAGCCCGACCCCAGGACTGGAATCATGACCCAAGCAGAAGGCAGATGCTTAACCGACTGAGCCACCCAGGCACTCCTTGGTATTACCTTTCTATAGGCCTGCAGCTGACCATCTGGAATTCCTGATGGATATGAAATTGTTACAAGATTTTTTTCCCCTGGCAATAAAAAGTGCAATGGTTCAGGGACCACAATAGATGTTCCTTTCATATATTTCAAAATGCACTTCTCCGTATCAGTTAGCTGATTATGAATTGCATCAACTAGAAGTTTACGAACTCTGTGGAGGGAAATATTCAAGTGCATTAACAAAAGTTATAGTGGCTATGATAAATGAGAATGGAGAGTTAATATGTCCTAACTACAGTAAAAAACCCAATTGGACCAGGATTATTAAACGAAGTGTAAATTTATGCAAAATTAAGTAGGCTGTGTATTTCCAATGTGTAGGTAAAGGGAAAACCTCTTAGGTTTTTGCATAGTACCCTACTTCCTCTAAATAAACATTTAATTACTAGATGACTCAGCTTAATAACAAACAAGGAATAAATCATAGTAAAAATAACAACAATCCTGGATACGTCTATATGATATTTAAAAACGGGCTCTGATTACTTTGGAGAGGAGTGCTTATTTAAATGTGTCAGTAGTAGTACAAAATACTTACTTTCCCCATGTTTCTTCTGGAGCAACAGATAGAACTACATCAACGGGTAAAGTCATACTAACGTAGTGGTGTTCTCCGTTTTCTCTTTCAATGATGGGGGTTACGGCTCCCAGAGAGGTTGACATTTCCAGCATAAGATCTATATTTACTATTTGATGCTATAAAGATAAACAGCAATAGTCAACTTACAGCACATTGAACATTAAATATAAAGGGCAAGTAAAATGACTTTTTAAGGGCCATATATAAAGCTGTATTACAGTAAGTAGTTTAAAAGCACAAATCCTGGCCGCCTGGGTGGCTCAGTCGTTAAGCGTCTGCCTTCGGCTCAGGTCATGATCCCAGGGTCCTGGGATCGAGTCCCACATCGGGCTCCTTGCTCGGCAGGAAGCCTGCTTCTCCCTCTCCCACTCCCACTCCCCCTGCTTGTGTTCCTGCTCTTGCTATCTCTCTGTCAAATAAATAAATAAAATCTTAAAAAAAAAATAAAATAAATAAAAGCACAAATCTTATCTTAAAAAAAAATCTCCTCTGCTTCAAAATAATCTGAGGAGAGGTGGAGAGGGAGTGGGGATGAAGATGAAATCAGACTGACCATTTGTTGATAAACATTTTTTTTTTAAACATTTGTGTGTGTGTGTGTTGATAAACATTTAGCTGGTGTAGGGTTCATCAGGATTCACATATTATTCTACTTTTGTATAGACTTAAAGTGAAAAAAAAATCAAATGAACAAGATACAATAACCACACACCAAAGGAACTTTTAAACATACATTAGAACTATAAACCTCTGGCCTAAAGACATAGGAACTATAAACAAATACTGAACTCCGTTAGTAGGTTTGATTTTGACAGTGGTATGGAATAACAACTCTGAAAACACTTTCTATTTTGAACAAATCTGGTAAAAGATTGAGAATACTGGAAGCCGGGTGTTTCACTGGCAAAGAGTTACAAATTCAGTGAGGTAGAAATAGAATTGGAAATATAAATATGATTTACATAGATAAATAGGAGTGTATTGTGTGTGTCTGTGTGTGTGTATATGTATGTATACATGTACGGTATGTATGTATACATGTGCATGCTTCTTAGAGAAATGGCTGATTTCTGAGCTGGAACAGGGACGGTACATGACGTGCCTAGAACACCTTGTGGAAGAAGTAGGAAGTACTCGAAAATACAGTGTCCAAAGGACACTGGAGCCAGCCTGAAAAAGCTTTCATTGGCCAAATCTTGGAAATGTGAGCATCCAAATAACTAATGAGAGTAACAGATTGTAACTCACTGCATAAAACAGGAACCTATGCTTCCACGCATATAATAAATAAATAGGGAAAAGCAAAGCTCTTCCTTATGGTATAATGTCATCTAAGAACTGTAGAAGGAAATGACAGAAAAATCACCACTTTGTAACCATCAGGTTAATGTTGGATTCAGACAAAAATTATCAGTTGATACTGGAAGTGGTGGGTAAAACTTTGGTGAGGAATAGGATAGCCTCTCACCATGAGATACTTACTACTTACAAGGGAAAAAATAGTGCCCTCACCCAGAGAAGAAAACCAGCAGACACCATGTGAAGTAAGTGATCAGAGTTAACGTCACCAATGCCAGAGGCCGACTGATAGCATATGCCTCTTTAATATGATGTGCTAAGGAGGACATGACATGACTTCGGCCATATTCCTATCAACAGCGCGTCACCTGAATCTAGTCATGAGGAAGCCTACAACAAACCCCAACTGAGGAACGTTCTACAAAATAACTGACCCGTACTCCTCAAAATGTCAAGCTCCAACTACTCGTAATTCTCAAATCATCTGATCCACAGCCCACAGGTTCTTTAAATCTAACAGCTACCAATTGTAAATTTAACAGCTCATGTGGACATCTCACTGGTGTCTCAAACAATGTGACCAAAACTGACCTCCTGTCTTCCCCATCACCCATCTTTACCCAAGCAAGAAAATGGTCATCCCATAACTAATTCATTTCCAAGGATCATCCATTTTATCTCCTAAATATCTCTTGGATCCCTTCCCTCCTCTGTTACCATAGCTGCTGGCTTAGTTCTGCTTCTTCTGAAGTGGCCCCCACCTAGCTCTCCAACCTCATGTCCACCCTATTTTCCTGTAACAGCCTAGGAAAACACGGTAGTGTATTAACTTCATACAACTTCCTCCCCTGGAGTAGCTCCAATTTTCATCTCTAGTATTTGCCAAGTCTGTGGCATATGGCAGGTCCTCAATAACATTGATTCAAAAAGCACCAGCACTAAGAACAAGGTGAAGAAAAGTAAATCATTTATTATTTACTATCTCACAGCATAATGTGTCTCTGTCATGTTTCAGAATGGTTCCTTTTTAAAGTAATTTGCAAACATACTCAAGCTGTGTATTTTTGTGGGAATACAGAAAGCATCCCAAAAAAGGTATGTATTAAGATATGTGTTAATATGGAACAAAAGCTTAGACATGTAAAACAGAGATACAACCTCTGACAAGTCATTTATTCTTTCTGGACCTCAATAATCTGATCCGTAAAAACTAAGAGAGTTGCATTAAATAATCTCTAAGATCTCACTCCAGTCCAAATCCAAGGATTACAAATTTTTAACACTAAGAAGACAGGTGATTTGCTTACCATGTCTGATAACTTTTTGCCTTTCTTTCTCATAAATTTTCGTTTGGTATCTTCTTCCTGTTCAAAGCTAGATGTTTAATACACAAAGATGTTTATAATATGAGATGACATTTTGAAAACATTTCTAGCAATTTTCAAACATACTCACTGAATAAAGCGCATTATGTTCTTACAAGCAGAACTATCACTCAGTTCTCCTGGAATGGTGTTTATGTCACTGTTAGGCCATATGTACACTGAACTGTGGCAAATTCTGAACACAAGTGCATTTGAAGAAAGCTTGGTTGACAGGTCACTCAGCACATGTTTTAGTGCTTTCTTGATAAATATTTCTAAATTAAAAGCAAATAAATAGAAGTTAATGAGAAAAATCTTAAACTTTTCAACATGAATGATTCCAAACACACAAAAGTAGAACACAGTAAAGTTGACTCCCAGATAACTTCTGCAGATTCAATAATATTAAAAAAAAATTTTGCCTTTCTTTTAAAAAAATTGAGATAAAATTCACAGACCATAAAATTCATCCTTTTAATGTATACAATTCAGTTGCTTTTAGCATATTGACAAGGTTTTACAATCATCACTATCTAATTCCAAAACACCGTCATCACCCCAGAAGAAACCTATACTTATCAGCACTCATTCCCCATTCCTCCTACACTGACCCATGGCAACCACTAATCTACTTTTTGTCCCTATAGATTTGCCTATTCTGAACACATCCTATAAATGGAATTGCACATTATGTGTCCTTCCATGTCTACCTTTCACCCTGTATAGTATTTCCAAGATTCATTCATATTGTAGCATTAATCAGTACTTCATTTCTTCTTATGGCTGAATAATATTCCCCTGAATGGATACAACACACTTTGTTTATCCATTCACAAGCTGATACATATATGGATTGTCTCTTTGCTTTCTGGTTATCATGAATAATGCTATGAACATATGCAAGTTATTGTGTGCATATATGTTTTCAACGCTCTTGGTGAGGTGATCACTTAAAAGTAAAATTGCTAGGTCACAGGGTAACTCTATGTTTAACCTTTTGAGGGACTGCCAAACTGTTTTCCAAGGGAGCTGCACTATTTTATATTCCACCAGCAACGTATGAGGACACAAATTACTTTCAAAATACCATATAACTTGTAGCAATAAAACTGTTGAATGAAATTCAAATTTCTTTGTAGTTCTTTTTCTCTTCGGACTCTATCCCACTAAGAATACAGTACAACCAAAGTACTGTATTCTAAAGTCAAAGTTTTTTCTGTGTAATGTGTCGTTAACCTGACACTTGTCTGACTTCATTTTCAGGGATTTCTTTTTAATTTACAATAATTTTTGGAATATGTAAAACATTTTCATGGTTCAAGAAGATATATTTAAAGAAGACAATATATACTTATTTTAGCTTTATATTCTTAAATCCTAAACCTATTTAACCTGGTGGTTAAAGTATTTATCACACTGATATCCTGATAAATAAATACCTTGGGGTTGTGGTAGAGAAAAGATTACTTATAACAAGTCAGATTTTAAGACATCTTGATGTGTTTCAGAAGGTCAAATTTAAAGATTTTCAGCTACACTACAAAAGATAAACATAATTCCTGGATTACCTTCTGTTTATCCCTAAAGGACCAAGAGATAAACTAATCTGAAAAAACTGTGATGTCTTTAAAGTTAAGCATCTCCTTCCTCTATATTTTCTCATTAATGATTCCCTTCACTGAATGTTTGAAAGAGTCTGATATTGTAGGAGTAATATAATCAAGTCAGAAGACAAACTCAAATATGTTAATTACTTGGTAAAAAGTATTGCAGCCCTTGTTTACATTTGAAATTACATTATTATATCTACTAATGGATTAATTATACTTTGCAGTAAGTTCATAGTAAAGTATATCTTCAATTTATATGGAGTTGTGAAATATAAGGCTTTAACCACACAAGTTAACATATTAGAGAACTACACTTTACTAATAAGATAGGCCTGGAAATGAGTTTGATTTAGTCTTTGTAAGATGGTTCTCATCTGGATGGCACATTAGAAACACCTAGAAAGCTTACTGATGCCTGGGTCTCTGTCCCAGAGACTTACTTTCATTCATTTGGGAGTGGGGATTCGAATGGACCAAGATTGAGAGCAATTTTTTTTAGCATAAAGGGATGAGTCAGAAAGAACATTCTGCGTTCTCTCCCTTCCTACTTCCACAGGGCCAGGAAACGATGGCCAGCTAGTGACCTCCTACAAGGAACTTGGCACTTTTCATTCCTTATCTTTCTGAACTTGTCTGTGGTTTCTGACACCACTGATCATACTTTTCACGAGTGATTTTATTTATTATCACGGTGTTAATGATCATCCTTCAGAGATATTCTTTCTCTCTAGTCCTGACCACCCACCCTCCCCTAAATTTCAGATTCAAATCACCCGATGCCTGCTGGGAATCTGCACTTGATATACTCTGGTATCTTAAATGAAACACCCTTCAAACACAACTCATCTTTCTCTTCTGATATTCTTTACTTCTGTTTGTGGCCTTAGCCCAAGTCAGAGATAGGAAGACATCCTAGAATTTGCTTGATACAAACTCTGCTGATATTTCTCCCATAGAATTCTTATGCCATTCCAAAACAACATAACTTTCAAGAGGGTGGGCTCTGGAGACTCAGGGTTATGTATAGGTGCAAGTCTGCAATCTACATGCCTTGTTTACATCGTGCTCATTGTGGATATGTGTATTTATTGTGACAATTTTCTTCCAGTGTGCAGTGAAGTTTTTTTAAGAAAGGGGGTATCTTTTTCTAATTTGCACAGAGAAGCCTCACAGGCTAGTAGTGGTGCTGGAACACAGTGCCTGTTTAAATCCAATTTACAGAACTCACTAACCACATGATTTGAGTTTATCCTCACTCAGTTTCATTTGCAAAATGAAGAGGATCCCAGTATATTTCACCATCAATTTTATAATAAAAAAGGAGAGATTTTTTGGTCAGACCTACCATTAGTAGTAGCTAGCTGAAAAGCTAGATCAAGGCCTCCTCTTATTCTGAAGAGTATATCCATAGTCTCTGAAATCACCTAAGACAGAGAACCAAAATTCCATTGTAAAACGAAACAAATTCATCCTCATACAAGTGAGACTCAATTCTACTTCTGGAAATTTGTTCTAATGAAATAAAGTTCAGTAAAAATTTAACTTTAATAAAAAAAAACTGGAAACTACCTAAATAGTTATTAATAAGAAGTCAGTTAAAGAACAATACTACCATACAAATATTAGGCAATCATTTGAACAATTTGCACTATGAAGAGTTCTACAGTTGCCATTTGGACAAAAACTATTTAATGACAATGAAAAATACTGAAGAAGACAAAAGTTAAAAAGGCAAGAGCACTTTAACTCTGTATGATTTTGCACAATGTAACTAATCGCTCAGTACTTTTGCCCTCTTCTGTAAAATTGGCAAAATCTACTATTTCATAGGGTTGTTGGGATGATTCCAGAAAAGATCTTAAGTGAAAGGACTACAACCTCCCTAGGCTTCTGAACTGAGATCCTCTCTGAAGAAATAATATTTAAGCTGAGATGTGAAGGGTAAGTAGGTATGAGCATTAACAATTGCAAAGGAAAGAGGCGGGTGGAGGTGGGAGAACCCATTCCATAGGCAGGGGCACAGATTGGTGAAGATCTGCTTGAAAGAACACTTAAGAGACTACCACAGATGTTGAGATCTGATGGCGACAAAGACAGGGAAGGTAGGAGTAGAGTAAATGACAACTGACAGCCATGTAGAAATAGAATGCATAGGATCTGATTACTGATCAGATGTTCAGAAGTTGAGAAGTGGAAGATGTCAAGGATGATTTCCAGGTTTTTGGCATGCACAACAGGGTGGATTTACTGAAATGCGGATCATTGGACGAAGAGCGGGTGTGGGATGAGGGGAGGTGGAAATAAGGAGTCAGTTTTGAACTTGCTGAGTTTGAAATACGGATCAATTATCCAAGTGAAGGTAGATATAGATCTAGAGCTCGGAATACAATTGCCAAATCTGGAGATACAAATTTGGGAGGAGGCACAGGGTGTAAAGAAAAGCATCCTTGAAGAACACTACATCTGGGATAGGGCTTGGAGGACCTCGCTGAGCAATCAGGAGGGAAACCGGGGGAGTGCGACATCACCGGAGCTAAGGGAATAGAGTATTCGAAGGAAGTCACTCATATCTTTCCCAGGTCCAATACTTCAAATCTTCAAAGACGCCAAATAATCCCTCGTTCACAAAATGCATTCATAAGGAGGAGGCGCGGAGAGCGCAGGTCCCACCGCGGCTGAACCGGGATAGTCTAGGCTGTGCGGGGCAGTTTCCCTCCGGCTCTACCAGGGAGAGACCGAGAGAAAGGCGGCCCAAACCACGAGTTCGCAGCTGCCACTGTGGGCCCCGGTAATGCCAGCTCCTTTCAAGGGCTTGGACCCACGACGGCTACGAAAGTCCGAGGGGAAACGCAGGGGTCGACTGCCAGCGGAGGTACTCACCAGGTCTGCTACGTGGCTATGACAGGGGCGCTGACGTCCGCGCAAGGGCTCAGCACGCTGGCCCGGAAGTGGAGTTTCCAGGGGCGGAGCCTGGGAAGGCTGACTACAACTCCCAACATGCCCCGCAGCAACGGCATGGGGCGTGTCTTTCCACAGCTCCTCGCGGATGGATAATGGGGCGGGTAGCAGAAGTCTTTTCTCAGTAAATTCTATTGGTTGAGTCCTTCGCATTCTACCCGCACTCTGAAGTCTTTACGTATGTTCCTCGATGCGGCTTCGAACTCTCCACATGTCCTTCCGTAGCGTCCTTTGAAACGAGTTCCCCCGTACCCGAGGCAACGCGTCACAATAAACACCTGCGGCCACAGTCGATCGCCGCAGTGCGTGGAGCGTGCGGAGGCGCTTCGCAGCGAGGCCTCGCGCGGGAAGCGCTTGCGCGAGGTGGCTCGCCGCACCTGTCGCCCCTGCCGCTGAGTTAACCCGGACCCGAGCTCAGACGACCTGGTCCCGGCTGTCGGACTGGGTGTCCTTCTGACAGGTGACTTGGTCCTCGGGGCCGCAGGGTGTTGGCCTTCAGATACCTACCTACTCCCTGCCTGCTCCGCGCCTGTTTCCTTAATGGGAAATCTTTTTCCTGTCGCCTCAGCCAGACGTTTTCCTCCCCTCCTTCAGCGCCCCCTCCCTTCAGCGCTTTAAGCGTGAGGGACCTTTCCAAATTCACTTGTGCTGCACTGAATTACGTGCTCGCCCGCTTAGACTGGAAGCTCCCTGGGGCCAGGAGCCGTGCCCTTTGCAGTGTTTGCCTAGCTTCTGTCGGCGAGCTTCACCCGGGGGGGGGGGGGGTTTGCAAAGTGGTTGTTGAATGAATGAACGATTCTGTAAATGTTGCTCAAGAAGAGTTAAATAGTGGGCAATTTCAAGGCGGGAGCTTCTTTCCTTTCCCCCTCCCCTCTGTGGCTCGCTTTGTTGTGTGCCAGGCGCTGCGCAGGCCCTGGGAACGCGGTGGTAGGGTAGAGTCAAACTCACCCCGGTTCCTGCCTTGGTGGAGCCAACAGTTGAGTGGGGAAGACAGCTGTTAATTAAAGGATTCCCGCACGCTGTATGTGAACTGATAACCCATTAGATAAGCCATGGCGAGGGCTTGGAAAAAGTAGTACAAGGTATGAGGTAATTAAAGAAGTGATCAATGAGCCACACGATCCGAAGCATCAGTGTTAACTGGGGGAGCTAGAGGAGTCAGCACGGTGAAGTACTTGCATGAAGTGAAACAGCGGGTGCCGTGGTCCTGGGCGGGAGCGAGGCTCATCGGAGAACTGAAAGAAGACAAATGGAGCCCAGGGGCCAGGGCGTGGGGTTCCCATGGTGACAGACGTGGGTGATAGCGGACCTTGTGAGCCATTTAAAGGGTTTGAGCCCCTGTAACAGCACAGGAAGCCCTTGTGGTCGGGCAGTGGGATGGAGCTTTGAACCACCCCACAAATGAAAGTAGCACATCCCAACTGACGGACGTTTGCTTTTAAAACAGACCTGATCAGAGGAAGAGGTGGAATGGGGGGAAATGGAAGCGTATCTTCTTTTTTTTTTTTTTAATTTTTATTCTTATGTTAATCCCCATACATTACATCATTAGTTTTAGATGAAGTGTTCCATGATTCATTGTTTGTGCACAACACCCAGTGCTCCATGCAGAACGTGCCCTCTTTAATACCCACCACCAGGCTAATCCATCCTCCCCCCCTCCCCTCCAGAACCCTGTTTGTTTTTCAGAGTCTGTCGTCTCTCATGGTTCGTCTACCCTCCGATTTCCCCTGCTTTATTCTTCCCCTCCTGCTACCTTCTTCTTCTTCCTTCTTAACATATATTGCATTATTTGTTTCAGAGGTACAGATCTGAGATTCAACAGTCCTGCACAATTCACAGCGCTTACCAGAGCACACACCCTCCCCAGTGTCCATCACCCAGTCACCCCATCCCTCCCCCACCACCCCCCACTCCAACAACCCTCAGTTTGATTCCTGCGATTAAGAATTCCTCATATCAGTGAGATCCTATGATACATGTCTTTCTCTTTTTGACTTATTTCACTCAACATAATACCCTCCAGTTCCATCCACGTCGTTGCAAATGGCAAGATCTCATTCCTTTTGATGGCTGCATAATATTCCATTGTATATATATACCACTTCTTCTTTATCCATTCATCTGTCGATGGACATCTTGGCTCTTTCGGAAGCGTATCTTCTTACGCTTTATTTTAACGGAGTCTTCACTTGCGTCTTTGATATTACCCGTTAGTAGTGTTGATGCTCAGAGGAGCCACAGTTCCAAAGAGGCAAGTGTGTTTAGTGTCACTGAAATTCAAGGCAAAAGTTTCTTACCTTGGATTATAAATTGGGAAGTAAAAGCCAGTGTTTGCTTTATTCAGCAATGTATGCCCAGTGCCTAGATCTAGTTGGTACTTAAAAAATATTATTGGGGCGCCTGGGTGGCTCAGTCCGTTAAGTGACCCACTCTTGGTCTCAGCTCAGGTCTCGATCCCAGGGTGGTGCGTTCAAGGCCCCCCCAACCCCCTTGGGGCTCCACGCTGGGTGTGGAGCCTATTTAAAAAAAATATATTTCATATATGTATTTAAATATATATATATGTATATATAATGATGAAGTCGAGGCAAATATTCCTTAGCTCTTTGGTCTTCCTTTCCAGAACATGTCTAATTAAAAAAAATTAAATAAATACTTGAATGTTTAATGTGATATTTCAAAAGAAGATTCATAGCCTTTAACAAGTACTCTTAATTCTTTGTGCATTATCGTTTGTTGTTCTTAATTTTTATCTTGCCTAGACAATTGTCCTTTCCCATCCATCCCCTTTGTGAACTGATTTTGCCAGTGACACATTTCTTGTTTTCATTTAAACTTGAGAAAACTCAAGAACATAGGATAACACATAATAACTATATGTGTTGTGCATTCTGAAAAACTGTTAATTTCCAACACGAGAGACAAAGCAGTATGTTTAAATCATTTGATCTAAACTGAAAGTGCCCCCCGCCTTATGTAATTATGATTTTTAAATCTACTTTGAACTTCTCAAAAGAAAGGTGCTGTTTACACAGTATTTATACTATACAGTAACAGTTTTATCATTTACAACAGATGAATGGCAATGAGACAGATGCTGTCATACACATGTCTTTGGAATTTGTGGATACTTCACCCAGAGAATCCAGGGGAGGGTTCATGGTGATAATTTTGAATGCTGTTATTCCCCTTCAGCCCCACAAAGTAGATTATTTCCCCACATAGTGTGGGACCATTGTTTTATAGTGAATGCTAATTCTCAGGCTGAAAATTATTTGGACTGAAAATTAATAATTGCCTTTTTCCTAAAATTTTTTTTTCCTGTATTTTTCAATGTAAAGTAGGATTTTGCTATAAAAGAAATAGCCATAAAGAACCTTTGAAGTTGTCGATATAGAGAATACCACCACAAGAAGCAACCATGCCTATGGAAGGAGGGAAAACTGATATGGAGAGGATTGGCCTGTTCAGTGAGATGGAATATGTTACTGTTGGTGATAAATATGTGTCATCATTTAATCGTAAGTATATCTGGTTTTCTTTACAGCTTAATAGTGGATATTTTCTATATGAAATTTTGGATTTAATATTTAGGTTAAGTGGTATATTTTAATGCTCTATATTTTAGAGCATTAAGTTTAAAGTTGAATAAACTTATGAAATTTCGATAGAGTTAAGAGACAACTTAACTTTATAAGAGCTGGAAGCTCCTTTCACTGGGATACCCTTCCTTTGTGTATTCTCTGTCATAGGTAATTTTACTTCTTTCCAAAGGTGCATGGCAGTTTTCTCTCAGAATATTTTGTTTTTAGCTTATGGTTTCTCAGATGGGACACTCTGTTATGCAAGCAGCATTTACATTTGCATCCCAAAAGGCCATCCATGATTACTTTCCTGAAAAGTGAAATGCTAAGTGAATAGCTGAGGGATTTTTAGAAGAGTCATAAATAATAAAGAGCTAACGTAAATAAACATTTTAAATATCTCAGTTAAATTTTTGGCTATTCAATGACTCCTTTGTTACAAAAAGAATACACTGACATGAAACATCTCCAAGATATATTGTTAAATAAAAAAATCAAGGTGCAGAATCGTTTATTTTATATTATGCTAAGCATCAAAGATGGAAAAGGATATATATGAAAATATTCATTGGGACATGTTTAAACATTCTCTGGAAAACAAAATATCATGATTTCCTGTGGGAGAGGAACTGGATGTACAAGTGTGGGAGGAAAATTTATTGTAAAAACATGTTATTGAATTTGGAACCATGTGAATATATTACCTTTTAAAAAATGTAAGTTAAAAAAATCAGTGATACAAATTCATATTTAACTAACTGGTTGATTTAAGGATTGTTTGCACTTCAAAAAAATTTTCACATTGCTGAAGGACTTCCCAAATTGAGCTCTCCTAGATCTAAATTATAAAAGAAGCTCTAAATACTTATAAAAACAGCCTTCTAAAAAAATTACTGAGCTACTAGTATTTCATTGTATAAATATATCACGTTTATTTATCTGTTCTACTGTTGATGGAGATTTGAGTAGTTACTTGTTTTTGAATATTACGAATGAAACTGCTGTGAAAATTCTTGTTCACATCTTTTAGTGAGTATAGACACTCATGTGTGTTGAGTATATATCCAAGAGGGGAATTGCCTCAGTTTGTGTATGGAACACCCTTCCCTTCAACCTCAACACACACACCCATACACACGTACTTGCTGATAATCTCACACAGTGTTTTCTAGTATATAGATGGGGAAGCATTGGATTAAATGCTTTTCGTGGTCTCTTCCACTCTAAAAAACAGAGTCTATAACCAGGACCTAATTATTAAAATGATTCAGTAGAAACCTCTTAGATCTTATAGTCAATATAATCTGCAACACAGAGCTTTCAGTGAACATTTTGAGACAGCATTTTAGAGCTCAAAACTCACTGGCCCCAGTCCCACAGTTTGAAACTTTTCTCAGTTACTTTTCATGTTCTTTAATTATTAGCTCAAAGTTATGATATTCCTAATTTATTTTTAAAGGACCCTTTAATGAGGCTGCAAGCAAAAATAAACAGATGCTACCTGGGGGATCCAAAGAAATGTCAAATCTCCAGGCAGGTTATTTTGATCCCCATTTTGTAAGGATATTTGAAGGTGAAGGCTATGTAAATCTGAATCAAGTGAGGAGACGGCATATGATGGAAGAAGCAAAAAAAAATCTAGGCAAAGCCTTCCTCCCTAGTAGTGGAGATAAAAAGCCGTAAGTGTATGGGGGAAAAGTCATAAATACATCTGCCCATTTCTCTCCTCTAGCCCAAATTGAGTCTTTCTCTGGAGGACTTAAGTATGATTCATTTTTTAAAATATGATTTTTAGGATGAACTTCTCTTAGGTGGAGACAGTTATATTGGGTGATATAAGTTGACAGGTAGTTTTGATTAAGTAGATCCTCATCTCATTAAATTTTTGATTATATCATTGCTCTCTATTTATGTAATAAAAGCTAATTAAATAATGCAAATACATTTGTTTGAAAACCTTGAAAAAACTGCCTTGGGTATTCTGTGCCCTTTACTCTTTTTTCTGCTTTGTAAAAACTTTTAAAAAGTATACATAAAAATTATTAAATTAGGAGAAGCCTTTTTTGATAAAGAAGATAATTTATCAAGACATGTTATTTAAAAATCATTGTGAAGATACATGCATAGAGTTTAACAATATTTTAGTTGTGACAGTTGTCAATGTGAAGGTTCATTTTTTTTTCTTACCTTTAAACCACTAAACAAAGAAAATCGTATAGTCTGTTACATTATATTATATAGCTGAGCTTTATGATATGACGTTAATGCACACTGTAATGTTGACTGTAGAATTTGTGATGGATGAGGATTGGTTGAAGGCCAATTTTGTGCTTAATTGTGCTGGGGTTTTTTTGAGGTTAGTAAAACTGCAATCTTCTGAATTAATGGAAACTATTATCACTGCCTAGAGATTATGAAATTTTGTTTATGTGGTACATTTAAAATAAGCATAAAAAATTAAAAACATTATCTCATCTGAAAATTTGTGACTTTGGAAAATGGGGGAAATTAGATTAAGAACTAAAAAAATTGGTTGCTTTTTCTTACTAAAGTTAGGCAAGTCAATTCCATTGCATGTATTTTGTTCCTTTTTCAGTCATTTTTTATAAATTGTGATCAAATATGTATAACACAAAATTTACTGTATTATTTTGCCTTGTTTTTTAAAAACTGTATTTAAGATGTGGTTTAGGAAGCTACTATGGAACATTAGGTGGTCCTGTGCCATTCTTCAGTGCACAGTCAAGACCCAGAGAAAAATATGAGGCACCTGGAAAGAATTTATACACAAACCCAGGAAAGAAAGGAACTGGATATGGGTAAGATATTTTTCATACTTTCATATCACTTATTTTAAACTTAAAAAAATAAAATTTAAAATTTCTGAATCCTAAAATCACCATTACTTAATTTCCTTCCTTAGCTATGCAAATATTACCATAGGTAAACAGTTTTCACACTCTGCTGATTTCTACGATGCACCCAAACTAAATTATAAGGTAAAATAATCTATTTTAACTTTTTTCAATCTTTCTTTTAGTTGACCTAGAGAATTCGTTTGTGATCTGATTATGGATTGTTTTATTTTATCAGTATTTGTATTACAGGGCAATGGTAGACTGATGTTTATGAATTGTGATAATTTTACCTTTTTGATACTAGATTTCATATCTTGCTGTAGATCTTCTCAGCTCTTCCCAGGCTAAGCTTTTATCTCCTGCTATCGTTGACCACATGTACCTTATATCTCTCTCAAATAGCTGTGAGGCTTCTGTTAACTTGGCCTGATCAGCTATGTCCTGTTTTGAGTAGAAGAGTCATGTCCTAAGCCTTTGCTATATTCCCACCACACCCTAGTATCTGTGGCTAGGACAGTAGTGGTAGTACCCTTGGCCTAATCAAGCCATTATGATCAACAAATGGAATGCAGGAGTGATAGGGAGAAAAGAGAAGGTGGAAGGTACAGAATGGATGAATACCTACAGAAAAGAGGGAGTGATAGGATGAGAGAAAGTACTCTATTAAATGACAGATATAAAAGCTAAATGTACTGGTATATGCCTCTACACTCATTTTATATAATATTTGACTTTGAATGAAGCATAGTCACTTATACAGACAAAGCCTACATGGGAATGAGTAGAGGAAACCTTATAAATTTTGGAGCAGTATCAACATAATTTAACAATTTCAATATAACTTAAAGGAAACTGGCATTAATGAAAAGTCAAGTTTGGACATTAAGCAATAGAACTTAAATGACAAGCATTTTATTAGTTTTAGGCCTGCAGTCTTCAACAATTTTGCCATGGTGAGTTTAAGCAGCAGTGGGGCCACGAGACAGAAGGATAGTAGCCATTTTTGCAAAGGGGTGTGTCCAAACTCAGGAAAAGTTTTCTATTAAATTGGGCAGAAACATTGGTCATTTAATAAGCATCTTTGTTTCTATGTATGGATTATCATAAAATTATGTATAAGCCACTTTTTATCTGTAGGAATAGTAGTAATAACACATAATATATAAACACACACAAGACAGTTTTATCAATGACTCAGTAATTAGTCTTTTTTTTAAAAAAGATTTTATTTATGTATTTGGGAGAGAAAGAGAGAGAGAGCATGAGCAGGGGGTTGGGGAGAGGGATAAGCAGACTCCCCACTGAGCAGGGAGCCTGACAGGCCCCTGGGATCATGACCTGAGCCGAAGGCAGACACCTCACCAGCTGAGCCCTCCAGGCACCCCAGTAATTAGTCTTTTATCCTAAACTTTATGTGCATGAAATACTTTTCTCTCCTAATAGTAAAGTTCTGTTCTTATTTTCAAAACTTATTATTTATAAGTCAGAAATTTTATATATTTTTTTAGAATTTTAAAGAGATTACTCCACTGCATTCTTGCTTGATTGTTTCTTACAAGAAATCTGCTGTCATGCTGATTTTTGTTCTTCTATATGTACTTACTGTCCTTTTTTTTCTAGTTACTTTTAAGATTTTCTATGTTCCTCATTTGAGCCATTTGATTATGATGTGCCTTGGTGGTGTTTTCATCTTGCTTCTTGTTCTTGGGGTTTATTGAGCTTCTGGGATCTGTGGGTTTATAGTTTTCATCAAAGTTGGAATATTTTCAGCTATTATTTCTTCAGTTAATTTTTCTGTTCTTCTATCTTTCTCCTCTCCTTCAGGGACTCCTATTACATATGCATTAGATCTCTTGAAATTGTCCCACAGTTTATCAGTGCTCTGTTTGCTTTTTTTTTTATTTCTCTTTTTTCCTTCTCTGTATTTCATTTTGAATTGTTTCTTTTTCTATGTCCTTAAGGTCACTAATCTGTTCTTCTGCAAGGTCCAATATGCTATTAATGCCATCCTTTGTATTTCTGATCTCACACATTGTGCTTTTGCTCTCCAGGAGTTCTACTTGAGTTTTTTTTTTTTTTTTTTTTTTTTTTATTAATATCTTACATGTCTCTATGTAGCTTTATGAGCATATAAAACACAGTTTAATTATTGTTTCTATTTCATTCTCTGCTAATTCTGACATCTATGTTAGTTCTTGGTTGATTTTGAATTACTGATTTTTCTTCTTGGTAGAGGTCATATTTTCCTACTTTGTATTATTAGTGATTTTTGATTGGATGTCAGGCACTGTGACTTTTACTTTATTGAGTGCTGTATGTTTTTTTGTATTATAAAAATTCTTGTGCTTTGTTGTGGAATGCAGTGAAATGACTTGGAAACAGTTTGATTTTTTTTCAGGTCTCACTTTTAAGATTTGTTAAGCAGGAGCAATGCTCAATCTAGGGCTAATTATCCCTGCTCCTGGGGTCACCCCTTTCTGTGTGCTCTACCCAGTGCCCTGGGAGTCATGTTTTCCAATATAGCTGATGGAATCAGAACTCTTGCCAGCCCTGTGGTAAGAGCCAGACACTGTTACTTCTAGTCTTTTTAGGCCGTTCTTTTTTTGGCTTTGAGTAGCTTCCTCACATATATGCGCCAATTCATACTCAACTGAATACTCTAGGGCAGGGTTTGGCAAAACAAACACAATATTCTAGTAAAAGGTGACCATACTCTAGCAAAAGGTAATCTTTAAAGCATTGCTTTATGGTAACCTGTATCAGCATCACCTGGGGTGACTGATAAAACTACAGATTTGGGGGCCATCTAGCAAACCAAGAGGATTAGAAATCTCTGAGAGAAGAGCTTGTAATATGTATTTTAAATAAATTATCAGGGGATTCCTATGAAAACTAAAATTTGAGACACACTGCCCCAAAGGATAAATGGAATGGTTAGATTATCCTTACCACCGTGGTGTGGAAGAGATCTCTTTTGTGTCATAGAAACAAAATAACAACTGAATGTTTTAGAGAAGTGAACCTAGCGGTATATATTTTAAAAATCCTACATGCTTCTGTTAAAATATAAAAGAAAATTTAACTGTTACTTCTAATTTGAATAATTTATGTTATGTAATTTCGAACTCTGATTTACAGAAAGAGAATGAAGAACACCATCGTTTAGTTAAAGGAACACCTTTCAAGTCAAACCTTTACCCAAGGGAATATTTTGATATCAATCCTTATTTGTTTGAGAAGTCTTTACCACCAATTAAAAAAACAGAGAAGAAAGAATTACTTGCACACCCCTTTAAGCCCTCTTCTCCCGGTAAAAAGGTAAGTTAAAAATTTTAGAATTAAAAATTATTACACATTATAAAGAATTGTTTTTTTTCTGGCACATCATTTTATTAGCCATGTAAATAATAAACCTCTGTTTATTATTCACAGTAAGAATTGTGAAATTTATTTTAACAAAATTATGAAAAGTCAACAAAGCCTGGCTAGTGTAGGGAATAATGGAGCTCTTGAAATGAAATAATTACTAATCACTTTAAGTGTATTTGAGTTTACAATGGATTTTCTCAGTGCCTCTCTAGATCTTAGGCATAGTTATTCACAGAACCATGAAAAGCCAGACCATCTTTTAGTTTTTGAAATGTGATTAAAATGAACCCTCTCCTACTCTGCTGAGATTTACAAGTGTGAATAAAAATAAAAATGCTTCTTACTGTTTATAAACCTTAGTTTATACTTTGAGTCTTTTGTGCATTGCCTATTCATTTTCCCTGCAGATTTTCTATTAGGATATTTGTCTTTTTCATATTGATTTGTAAGATCTTCTAATATATTAATGATACTCTTTTGTCATTTGTGTTGAAAATAATTTTTTTAGTCTGTTGAATCTTTGACTTCAGTTATGGTATTTTGTGCTATTCAGAAATTTAATAAATTTGTAGTCAAATTTATCAATTCTTTATGCTGAGTTTTATGTCATTCTCAGAATGACTTTCCTTACCACCAATATTATAAAAATATACATTCTTGATTTCTTCTATTAGTCTTACCCTTTTGCATTTAAATCTTCATTTGAAATGTATTTTGACATGAGCAAGGTAAGGATTCAGGTTTTATCTTTCTCAAAATCCAGGTTTTTTTCTCTCAGAGATTTTATTTATTTATTTGAGAGAGAGGAGAGAGAGAGAGAGAGAGTGTGCTCAAGCGCATGTGCACAAGCTGAGGGAGGGGCAGAGGGACAGGGATGAGCTCAGCTTGATCCCAGGACCTTGGGATCACGACCTGAGCTGAAGGCAGACACTTAACTGACTGAGCCACCCAGGCGCCCCTCAAAATCCAGTTTTTAAGGTAGGATGAAACTTTGAGGGAAGATGTGCTCTATATCTTGATTGCAGTCATGGTTTCAAGGGCATATACAGCTCTCAAAAGTCATAGAATTGTAAACTTTAAGTGGGTGCAGTTTATTGTATGTGAATTAGACTTCAAGAAAATTGGTTTTTTAAAAAGCCAGTTGTTCCAAATATCACTGATAGAATTATTTTTAATACCACTGCTTTGAAATTGCACCCTTGTCAAATCAAAACTCCCATTTTTTCCCTTCAATTTCCATTTTATTTGATGTTTATTTCTACCTATACCAAGTTACTTTTAATTACTGTTACATTTTAATTTGGGATGGTCTAATTTCTTGTTACTCTTTAAAAAAATTACATTGGCTAATTGCCCATATTTATTCTGTAGAACTTTGAAGTTATTTTCTAAAGCTCTGGGGAGAAAGATGTTTGGTATTTTGCTAAAAAGTTAAATCTTCAGATTTTTGGACATATTAGCCTATTTATGATTTGAATCTTCTGATCTAGAAATAAACTACTTATAAAAACCTTTAGTTACCTTGTAGGATTCTATATTTTACTTCACACAGGTTTATATATCTTGTATTTTATTTCTATTTATTTTAAGGCTCTGGTCAACAGTTTTTTTCCCATCATATATTCCCTTATATAATTTATCTTTATAAAAACATTTGATAATTGGCCATTTCATTAAGTTTTCTTATGTTCTAATGGGTATTATCTTGATTCTCTTTAGATTTTCAAATATATGATTACATTCTCTGCAAATAATTTTGCTCCCTCCTTTCCAGTATTTATAGCTCTTAAGTCATGTTCTTGTCCAGTAGCTTAGGTTAGCAACAGTGGCCATCTTTTGCCTTAATCTCAAATTTACTGAATTACTTGAATTTACTCTAGTGTAAATATTTATTCATATTTATAGATGCCAAAAATAGGGACAAATCAGAAATGTATGTAGAATTATATTGAATGTTTTGGTATAATCTACTTAGACTATATATTTTTTTCTCTTTTTGACTTGTTATAAGGTGAATAATAATAATAGATTTCTTGGGATGAATCCCACTTGGCCATGTTGTATTAATCTTTAAGTGTACTAGTTTACCTTATTTGTTAATTTTTTAAGTATTTTTTGCATCAATAATTTTAAGTGTAACTGGTCTGTATTTTTTTTTATATGCTTTGTTTTATTTTGTTATAAGTAGATGTTAGCATAGATTCAAAAGAATCTATGTGTCCTCAATCTGGAAAACTTGAAATATTACAATTATGTCTTTTAATTTTCATTATATTTGGCTTAGATACTGTAAGATAAAGAATGCCTACTTAAATGGCTTATTATGATTCTATAGAGTTTTCTTGGTAACTATATATAATATAAAGATTAAAATTGTGACAAATCAGCTTAAAAAGTCAAAGCAATTATTTGTTTTGTGTACAGGTCAAAAAATAACTTTGACTTTTCTTAATAGACTATAAGAACAGTATAAAGTAGATCACGTTTTCTTCGCACCTTCTGTTTCTATGTGCTATTCCTTATTTTAAAAAATTTTTAGTATCTTTTTCATCATTGACTGATATTTAATAAACTCTTGTTATGTCAGCCTCCCAGTTGGACAGATCTTACCTTTGGCCTCTTTTCTGAGCATCCTCTGGTTTTGAGCCCCAATTCTTTTAAGGACTGTATCAAAATATATTTGACCTAAGTCTTATTCCCTCAGTAATAGGTTCACCCCTTAACTAGATGATAGCTTGATCTGGTAAACTCTTACTAAAATATTAATACTTGGCAAGAGTTTGGAATATTACTTTCTTATAAACATTTGCATTTTAATAGAGAACTTTTGGAAATTACAGTGTCTTGCCTCGTAAAATTGGCGGCAGGGAGACTGCTGGTATTTGAACAGTACAGGTGTACTTAGTTTTATTGGGCTTTGCTTTATTGTGCTTAACAGATACTGTGTTTTTTTTACAAATTGAAGGTTTGTGGCAATCCTGTTTTGAGCAAGTCTATTGGCGCCATTTTTCCAACAGTATTTGCTCACTTTGTGTTTCTGTGTCACATTTTAATACTTCTTGCAATATTTCAACTTCTTTATTATTATTACTATATTTGTTATGGTGATCTGTGATCAGTGTGATCTTTGCTGTTACTATTTTAATTGTTTGAGGGGTGACATGAACACCACCCATGTAAGATGGCAAACTTAATTGATCAATGTTGTGTGTTCTGACTGCTCCATGTACTGGCCATTCCCCCTTGGGCCTCCCTCTTTCCTGAGAAACAGCAGTATTGAGATTAGGCCAATTAATAACCCTACAATAGCCTCTAAGTGTTCATGTGAAAGGAGGAGTTGCATGTGTCACTTTATTATTATTATTATTTTTTTTTTTTAGAGAGGGAGAAAGAGACAGAGGTGGGGAGAGGAGGGACAGAGGGAGAGGGAGAGAGAGAGAGGATCTCAAGCAGAATCCCTGCTGAGTGTAGAGCCCTACAGGGCTCGATCTCATGACCCTGAGATCATGACCTGAGCCAAAATCAAGAGTCGGAAGCTTAATGGACCGAGCCGCCCAGGTGCCCCACATGTCTCAATTTAAATCAAATGCTAGAAATGATTAAGCTCAGCGAGGAAGGCATGTCAAAAGCAGAGATAGGCTGAAAGCTAGGCATCTTGTGCCAAACAGTTACTCAAGTTGTGAATGCAAAGGAAAAGTTCTTGAAGGAAATTAAAAGTGCTACTTCAGTGAACACATAAATGATAAGAAAGCAAAATAGGCTTCTTGCTGATGAAGAGAGTTTTAGTGGTTAGAAGATCAAGCCTGCCACAACATTTCCTTATGCCCAAGCAAGGCCCTAACTCTCTTCTATGAAGGCTGAGAGAAGTAAAGAAGCTGATGAAAAGTTTGAAGCTAGCTGAAGTTGGTCCATGAGGTTTAAGGAAGGAAGCCATCTCCATAACATAAAGGTGTAAGGTAAAGCAACAAGTGCTGATATAGAAGCTGCAGCAAGTTACAGCTAAGAAGACTTAGCTAAGAGAATTCATAATGGTGGCTACACTAAACAACAGATTTTTAATGTAGATGAAACAGCCCTTTATTGGAAGAAGATACCATCTAGGACTTTAATAGCTAGAGAGGCGGGATCACTGCCTGGCTTCAAAGCTACAAAGGACAGGCTGGCTCTCTTGTTAGGGGCTAATGCAGCTGGTGACTTTAAGTTGAAGCCAGTGCTCATTTACCATAACCAAAATTGTAGGGCCCTTAAGAATTATGATAAATCTACTCTGTCTGTGTTCTATAAAGGGAACAACAAAGCTTGGATGACAGCACATCTGTTTATGACATGGTTTGCTGAATATTTTAAACCCACTGTTGAGACCTACTGCTCAGAAAAAAAAAAAAAGATTCCTTTCAAAATATTGCTGTTTATTGACAATGTATCTGGTCACCCAAGAGCTCTGATGGCACTGTAAAATGAGATTAATGTTGTTTTCATGCCTGTTAACACATCTGTTCAGCAGCCCGTGGACCATGGAATAATTTCAACTTTCAAGTCTTATTATTTAAGAAATGCATATCATAAGGCTATAGCTGCCATAGATGGTGACTCCTCTGATGGATCTGGGCAAAGCCACTTCAAACCCTTCTGGAAAGGGTTCACTATTCTAGATGCTATTAAGAATATCTGTGATTCATGGGAAGAGGTCAGAATATCAGCATTAACAGTTTGGAAGTTGATTCCAACCCTCATGGATGACTTTGAGGGGTTCACACTTCAGTAGAGGAAGTAACTGCAGATATGGTGGAAACAGCAAGAAAACTGGAATTAGGAGCCTGAAGATGGGACTGAACTGCTACAATCTCATGATAAAAGTTTAATGGATGAGGAGTTGCTTCTTATGTCGGAGCAAAGAAAGTAGTTTCTTGAGATGGAATCTACTCCTGATAAAGATGCTGTGAAGATTGTTGAAATGACAATAAAGGATTTAGAATATTACATAAACTTAGTTCATAAAGCAGCAGCAGAGTTTGAGAGGATCAACTCCAATTTGAAAGAAGTTCTACTGTGGGTAAAACATTGTCAAACAGCATTGCATGCTACAGGGAAATCATTCATGAGAGGAAGAGTCAATCAATATGGCAAACTTCATTGTCTCATTTTAAGAAATTGCCACAGGGCGCCTGGGTGGCTCAGTTGGTTAGGCGACTGCCTTCGGCTCAGGTCATGATCCTGGAGTCCCGGGATCGAGTCCCGCATCGGGCTCCCTGCTCGGCAGGGAGTCTGCTTCTCCCTCTGACCTTCCTCCCTCTCATGCTCTCTGTCTCTCATTCTCTCTCTCTCAAATAAATAAATAAAATCTTAAAAAAAAAAAAGAAATTGCCACAGCCGCACTAACTTTCAGCAGTCACCACCTGGTCAGTAAGCATCCATTAACATCAAGGCAAGAACTTCCCATCAGCAAAAAGAATATGATTCACTGAAAGCTCAAATGATGTTTAGTATTTTTTTTTTTAGCAGTAAAGCATTTTTAAATTAAGGTATGTACATTGTTTTCTTAGACACAATACTATTACACAGTTAATAGACTACAGCATAGTGTAAATATAACTTTTATATGTACTGGGAAACCAAAAAAATCATTTAACTTGCTTTTTTGTGATATTCACTTTATTGCAATTTTCTTGAACTGAACCCACAATATCTCTGAGGTATGTCTGTATAGACAACTTTCTTTAAATGTAAAACCAACTCTATAGACAATACACAAATATGTATGAACTTCTTCACAGTCTAATTTTATTAAAAGCATTTTACAAAACTACATTAAATTGTCTTTTATTTGTTTTTATTGTAGGCTGGTGGAATGAAGGCAGGAACATTTGACCCTTACCCTTCACATTCTGCTGACCCTTATGTGGTTAAATTGGCAAACCAGATTTCCAGCAAAGGTGCTAAGATTTTCCACCCACCAAGTGGACCAAAGAGCAGACCAATTGAAAGTATAATGACCTTGAATGTCAAAAGGTAGTAATATATTACCTTAGCCTGTAAACTAAGAAAAATTGTTTTTGACTTTTTGATCCCTTCAAAATAATATCTCCTATTTATACATACTTTAAACAATGACAAATCTGGGTGTCTTTGAAAATCTCAGCTCCTTTTATACAGAAGCTCTTCCTTGTAGAAGTTCTTTCCCATGTTCTAAAATTTCTAACTGAAAAAGCTTAATTTGTCTGTACAAACTATTCTGTTCATAATTTTTAAAGCAAATCTGTAGTATCTTATGAGTTGTTTGAGACTGTTTAGATATTTATAGTTCAGTTAGCAGTACAGATTAACATTGTTTGTTTCTCAAAGGGTGTTTTTGATCTTTGTTAAATTATTATCTTTATGTGGGCTCCAGGCTCTCAGTAATTATGAAGAATTCTGATGACATTTAAGACTTCTCTCCTTAAGTTTTAAATAATCTTTCATGAAATCTTCTAGGAAATATTTTGGTTAGTTAAAAAAGCTATTAACATCAGTTTATAATACTTTGAAGAAAAGTATATTGCTAAAGTATTTTAAAAGTTCAATTTTGCCCGAGGTTTGAGTACTCTCAAAACTGAAAAGAAGTTCTCAGGAGTTCAGAATATAAATTAGAAAAGGATAATCCATCATTCCTTTTTTGTGTGTGTGCAAGATCATGAATAAGTGGAAGAATTCATTTGATTACATTTCTATCTATTCATTTAAAAAGTTTTAATACCAATTAAGCTAATTTACGTATTTCTAACTTCAGTGTAATCATACACTAGATTAGGTAAAGGAGACCAAATTCACATTCTTTTCTTTTATTAAAACATCTCAGTACATTTGTATCCCTTGTGAACAGTGATTATAATACCAATCTTACTATCCTGTCCCCAAAATAAGACTGCTCATCATTATTTATGTAATTTAACTGTTGTCTAAAGGCATAATATTCTAACGGGCCTAGTTGGTGGAAATGGGAATATATGGAGTCTTCTTTTCATGTCCTTTGATCTTCATCCTTTGGCAAGCTCCTTATCTATCAGTACTCTGCCCAACTCTGTCTATGTAATATAGAACAGAGAGTAAAATTAGAATTTTCTTCACCACACTCACCCTCAAATAGATGGGATTTTTAGGGAGGTGGGGGGGGGAGGGGTTAGTTTCAGCTTTTCTGAGTGTTCTTTTCTATCCAGAGAACAGACCTGAGAAAGTTCTATGGTATGTATGTTTGTAGCAGAGAAAAGAATAACTGATTGCTCTTTTGGATAATCAGAAGTTTATCTTCTGTTTAGTAATTTTGAGTTTATTGATACTTTTTATATTATCACAAATACTATCCTAAAGCAAGTTATAACTTCTCTTACCCCAATTTTTTTTATTTATTTATTTAAAGCTTTTATTTACTTATTTATTTTAGAGAGAGAGCATGCAAATAGGGGCAAGGGCAGAGGGAGAGAGAGAATCCCAAGCAGACTGCACCAAGGATAGAGCACTGATGCAGGGCTCCATCCCACAACCCCAAGATCATATGACCAGCCAAAATTAAGTCAGATGCTCAACTGACTGAGCCACCCAAGCACCCCTTACCCTGATTTTAAAATTAATAAACCTCTGGGTGGTATTTAAAATTGGTCCCCTCGAACCAATTTTTCCTTCTTAAATTATATTTTAAGTGACACTTTTTAATCTGGTGAAAGAATTTGGTTTTTGATGATTAGTTTTTTTATTGCAAAACTTTTTTACAAGAATGTACAGATATATTACCTGCACCTAAAAAATTAAATGTGCATTTATTTTCCAATTTTAGGACACTAAATATGAAGAACTACAAGACTGCTTCAGTACAGTCCTATTAGCATTCGGAAGACAAATAACTTTCTAGGTTGTGACTACCAGTAATTCATTATGGAGTGCTAATTATTTGCATAAAACATAAGATGTGGAACATATCTCAAACATTTAAAAGATATTTAAGCCTGCAAATCTAATATTCTTCCTTGTTTTAGTACTATTGATGAATAAATAGTATTTGTTAATAATTTAGTATATGGTTGTTGATCTTTGTTTAGATCTGTGTTCTGGGGAGAAAATAATATTTAGACATGTCATAAAATCCTGAAGTGTTGTCTATCATTTGAAAGCTTACTCCTAATGTTGAAGAATTGCAAGCTCGGAGAGCCAGAGTGAAGGCTGGGGCTAGAGGGGTAGAAACAGCACATTAAGTTCTTACCTTGTATTTCTTCTTAGAGGTATTTGAAAATTGGATTGATAGCTTATCCAAGTGTCATAGCCCATTAAAGCATTCTTAATATTCAAAGAGAAATATGGATCCACTCATATTGCATAGATTCATGTATGCACATTACAGAGTGAGGCAAATGTCTCCATTTATGTGGTCTCATGCCTTCTACTTATGGCCTGTGTAAAGCTTCATATTAGCCGATGGCAGCCTCAGGATGAGTTGGAGGAAGGGAGAATGGGGAATGCCTTTTTAGTTGAGTATCTTACAAAAATACAAAGTTACAGGATGGATGGAATTTGTCTTTGGTGTCCTCTTATGCACATTTGTAGCTGTCCAAAGCTGCCTGTCCTGGAACATCCCCCTCTAGGTCTTATTCTCTTGTTCCCAGATTATCTCTTTTTCATTTGTCCTACCACTTTAAAACATATCTGTTCTTGAAAGATATGATTTAAATACATTACTGTAATTCACAGCGAGGTCTTTATCAAACTGTCCTTATTCAGTTGGGTGTGGTGGTGGTAGGATTTAAAAAGGGAAATTTATAATATCTATTAATGTAATATATTGGGGAAGTTATTTTTGATCCATGGTGACTTCCTTAGTACTTGTCCCTTTGCCATTCTAGGCTTCTCAGAGCTGGAAATCAGAATGTATAGAGACTGCAGTACTCTTCTTTCCAACTTGCTTTTTTTTTTTTTTCCAGGGGGGGATACTATGTCAATTCAGATGTATCTGGATTTTAAAAGGATTAAAGATGGTACACAGAATTTTTACTATTGTAAAATATAGTAATATATATATAATATATAATATATATATTTTTATATCTCATATGATTTACTTTTTTCTAAAAGAATATTTAAAATCTTTATTTCCTATGCAAAGGACAGTGTAGAATGAACATCTTAAAGATATTATCAAGGATATAATGTGATCCAAAGGGAATACGTTTGTCTTTAGGAATAATTTTACCAGGTGCACATAACTGAATGAAAGTCATATATATTGATAAGTGTTACTAAATAAGCCTTATAAATGTATGCATTCTTTTGAGATGAGGTTTATATTTTCAGATTTTATTAAAATTTAAATAATTGCTCATTTACACTTACGCCTTCATTGGCTGTAATTAATTTTTATTGATGTGCCTCCAATAATAACACACACTTCACATAATATTCATAGATGGGAATGCTCATCTGATGCCTTACTGGGGGGCATAAGAAGCAGTATGACAGTTGGCAGAACTTATTTAGAGTTTACATAAATGCATAGTGTCCATTTACAGAAAAGCAAATGCAGGAACCAGTAACAGGAATAGTGAAGCCTGTAGAAAAACTAAGATATTTGAAATGATAATAAAGGAGCACACACACTTGATTTAAGGGGCATAAACTATTTATGTATCTATTGATTATTTTCTTTTTCTCTTTTCTTTACTCTTTCTTTTCTTTTTAAGATTTTACTTATTTATTTAGAGAGAGCATGTGTGTGAGTAGGAGGAGGGGAAGGGCAACGGGGGAGGGGAGGGCAAAGGGAGAGGGAGGGAGAGAATCTCAAGCAGACACTGCACTGAGCATGGAGCCCCACTCGGGGCTCCATCTCACAACCCTGAGATCATGACCTGAGCTGAAATCAAGAGTCGGACACTTAACCGACTGAGCCACCACCCAAGTGCCCCAGCCTTTTGTTATTTAAATTGTCTTGGTCATAGAAAAATATGAAAAGAGTTTCCATTTATTTTATGAGGCTAGCATAACTGGACAAGGATAGCTAAAAAGGAAAATAATATTTCTAACTCATTAAAAAAACCTCAAAATCAAGTATCAGCCAATAAATCCACATTTTAAACGATCATAAAATAAGATTGATTATTCTATGACTACTGCAATAGCTTGACATTAGTGGATCTATTATAATTAGCTTAAGTAATATATTAAAATGGAAAAAATACACGTCCCCCCAATAGATGCTGGAGAGCCATTTGACAAAATTAAATACCCTTTCCACTTAAAACCTCTTAGGACATGAGGATTAGGAAGAACCTTTCTTAATTTTTATAAAGGATATATCAGAATCATAACAAACATTAAGCTAGAGCCATCAACAACTCTAACTCTGTGCTTTAGAAAATACAGTTAATGCAGTAAGATAAGAAAAAGCCCTGAGGGGAATAAAGGTTACAAAAAGAAATACAACATTGTTCCTTGCAGGTGATATAGTTACCTACCTACAATGTAAAAGGAAACTATTGAACAATATTAGAAATAATAAAATAGTCCAATTAACAGGATGTATATATAGTTTTCTGCAAAAAAAGATAGTTTTTAAAAAATATGTCAGGAAGTGTGAAACTATTCTATGTACAATAGAAAAAAGCTAAGGAAACTTAGGGTTAAAATGAAAATTTAAAGAATGGCTGAACAATACGCCATGTTCTAGGGAGACTCAATATTGTAAATATGCTATTTCTCTTTACTACATCAATAGATTTAATGCAATTCAATTAAAATCTCTACAGAATTAAAAATAATAAAACTTGACTAGCTACTTCTAAATTTTATTTTGAAGAGGATATTTGTCCCAACCAAAAATATACTATGAGGCTGTTTATAACATAATTACAACACTAATATATTAGGGGATTCCACTTAAAACTGGCAGGTAGAACACATTTATTTGCTGGCTTTCTTTCTCTGACACTAAAAATATAATACTAAAATAATGAGCCCAGAGAAATGAAAGAAGTTTCAAAAAAAAAATACAATAGACCAAAAATAAATAATAAAAAATAAATAAAAAGTAAGAATAGAGCTAGAAACATTTAAAGTGTGTTGAGGAAAGACTTTTTCAGTCTATTTCTTTTTTCTCCTACCTCCTTCCTATTCTCAGTACTTTCCCAGTTTGGGTAGCCCAGAATTTTACCCCCAGATATTTTTTAGGGCTCCAAGAGTAAGGTTCTTATTCTGGCATTATTCTCATAATAATACTTACCCTGGTTACTTTTTTTTATTTTTTATTTTTGGAGGGCTCCATAGCCTAACGTGTGGCTCTCTACTTATACACCTTAAAGTGAGGAATGGCTAGTCAATAGTACTGTACACACATACCCTAGTCACAGGCAGCTTTTCTAGAGATGGGGGAGATTCAGTGAGAAAACATTCCTACAGTTACCAGCTACCTAGAGAGATTGCTGCTATGTTCTGTCCATTCAGAGGACTTTCTAAATTTCCCAAACTTGACTGTCCCAAATTGGCTTCTGGCCGAGATAGAGTAAGAGGGGCTGGACTTATTCTCCTTCCTTAAACAATTGAAAACTGTACAAGACATACACAACCCCTCTTCTTAGACATTGGACACAGTGCAGGACTGTCATCAATGAGAAAGAGGAAACAACTGAGGTGAGTCCTGCAATTCCTTTTTATTTGGAGGCACTTTCTGGACTATAGAGGATAGAGGGGAATCTCCAAGTATGGTAGCCTTGCTCATATGAGACAGAAATTGGAACTCAGAGAGTCTAAAGTGTCTGGAATTTGTGGGGTAGAGTTCTAGAGAGGAAAGGGCTACATAGGAAAAGAGTTCAGACTTGTGCACTGGAGTCCCCTTAATTCTGCTGACTGCTAAGGCACCCATAGGGTTAAATTCCATGAAGGAAGGCAAAGGACAACTGGGGACCTGTCAGTTAACTGGTTCCCACAGCTTACATAGGGCCGGGAATCATTTGAGGATGGGAAGTTCCCACCAGCCCATGGAGGGTCTTTGTCAGTCTCTTAGGGCATTCAGTGGAGATCCCAGAGGATCTAGACTACACTAGACGTTGCGCTACACCCACCCTAACAAAAATTTTAAAACAAGCCTCAAAAGGATCATATTGAAACAGAAGTAACTAATCTCAACAGAACTACCCCATTTTCTGTAGAGGAAAACAAAACAAAAATCTAGACAATTAACAATATGAAATTTACAGTGTTTGCGTTCCAATAAAAAGCTACTAGACATACCAAGAAGCAGGAAAACGTGACCCATAACCAGAAAAAATCAGGCATTAGAAACAAGCCCACAAGTAGCAGAGATGGAGTTAGCAGCAAGGACATTAGAATAGCTAGTATAACTATGTTAATGTATTTAAAGGAAAATATGAGTGCAATGAGGAGAGAAATTGAAGGCATAAACAAGACCAAGTGGAAAATCTAGAGATGAAAAAATATCTGAAATGAAAATTTTCAGTAAATGGGAATACTAGCAAATTAGACATTGCAAAAGAAAAAAAAAAACAAAACTAGTGAACTTGACGATATAAAAATAGAAAATATCCGGGGCGCCTGGATGGCTCTGTCATTAGGCATCTGCCTTCGGCTCGGGTCATGATCCCAGGGTCCTGGGATCGAGCCCCGCGTCGGGTTCCCTGCTCTGTGTGAAGCCTGCTTCTCCCTCTCCCACTCCCCCTGCTTGTGTTCCTGCTCTCGCTCGCTCTCTCTCTCTGTGAAATAAATAAATAAAATCTTTAAAAAAAGAAAATATCCAAAATGAAACACACAGAGAAAAAAGACAAAAAAAATGAAAGGAATGTCAGTGAGCTCTAGAACAGTATCAAGTATCATATGTGTTACCAAGTCTTAGAAAGTAGCAGAGAGAAAAAGATTTGAAGAAATAGTGGCTGAAATTTTCCAAATATGAAAAAAGTTAAAAACCCCAATCTAAGACGCCCAAGGAATAATAAGCAGGATAAGCATAAAGAAAATGCACACCAAGACACATCATAATAAAATTATAGGAAAGCAGTGATAAAGAGAAAAATCTTAACATCTGCCAGAGAAAAAAAGACTATGATAATTCTTATCAGAAATGATGCAAGTCAGGAAAAGAATGACATCTTCAAAGAGTTCAAGGAAACTCAATTCAGAATTCTATTTTCACTGAAACATTTTTCAAAAAATTAAGGTGAAATAAAGACTGAGAAAGAGAAGAGGTGGGACGTGCATTACAAGAAATGTTAAGGAAAGTTTTCAGGTAGAATAAAAATGATCAGATGGAAACGTGGGTTTAAAGGATGCTAGGGGGGCATCTGGCTGGCTCACTTGGTAGAGCATGTGATTCCTGATCGCAGGGTTGTGAGTTCAAGCCCCATGTTGGGCGTGGAGCCTACTTAAAAAAATAAATAAAATTTTAAAAATGAAAAAAAAAAAAAAAAGGATGCTAGAAATGGTAAATAGAAAAAACTTCTTTTCCCCTCCTGGTTTAATTTCTTTAAAAAGTTAGAGGTAACTGGGGCGCCTGGGTGGCTCAGTTGGTTAAACAACTGCCTTCGGCTCAGGTCATGATCCTGGAGTCCCGGGATCGAGTCCCGCATCGGGCTCCCTGCTCGGCGGGGAGCCTGCTTCTCCCTCTGACCCTCCCCCCTCTCATGTACTCTCTCTCATTCTCGCTCTCTCAAATAAATAAATAAAATCTTAAAAAAAAAAAAAGTTAGAGGTAACTTATTATTTATAGTAAAACTATTAAAAATTTGTTGGGTTTATAACATATATAAAAGTAAAGTCTAAATAACAGTAGCACAAAGAATGGGAGGAGGGAAAAAAAGATATGTTATTATAAAAGTCTTCCATTGTATATGAATTGCTATAATATCATTTGAAGAAAATCAGTAGTAAACTAAAAATATATAACTCTAGAGCAGCCTTTAAAAAGTAAACAGAGATTTCTGATAAGACAAATTGGAGAGAAACTGTAATCCTAAATACTTAATTAATCCAAAAGAAGGCAGGAAAAGATAAAAGGAACAAAATAGATGGGACAAATAGAAATCAAATACATAGAAATCAATTACATTAAACATTGATAATTACATTAAATGTAAATAGCTAAACACTGCAACTTAAGGGCATAGATTGTCCAGACTTGGTAAAAAGAAAGACCCATTTACATGCTTTCTAAAATAAACCCACTTTAAATGTAAACACATAGATAGGTTAAAAGTAAAAGGGTGTAGTTTTTTAGTTTAGTTGTTTATATTGGCAATGGTTTCAACACAAATATTCTATTTTGTAACTGTTAAGTCTCACAGTTCTTTAATCTTAGTTCTGTATTTAAATTGATACAATGCTCACCTTCCTTTACTCCTTTTTTCAATACCTGAATTCATTCTCTTTTTTTGCCATTTATATAATTTTATAATAAAGGAAAATATGAGACCATAGTTTTTCACATTTGTAAGCATCAATACTTTTTAAAAAATAATTTTTATTTGAATGTAGTTGACACACAATGAACATTAATTTCAGGTTTACAACATAGTGATTTGACAAATTTAAACATGTTATGCTCACCACAGGTGTAGCTATCATCTGTCACCCACACAATGCTGTTATAGTATCATTGACTATATTTCTTATGGTGTGCCTTTTATTCCTGTAACTTATTCATTCCATAACTGGAATTCTCCATTTTCCACTCCTTCACCCATTTTTCCCTACCCCCTGCTCTTTCTCAAAATTACTTTGGCTACTCAGGGTCTTTTGTGATTCCATGCAAATTTGAGTAATTTTTGTTCTAGTTTTGTGAAAAACGGTGTTGGTGTTTTGATAGGTATTGCATTCAATCTGTAGGTTGCTTTGGGTAATATGGACATTTTAACAATATTAATTCTTTTAACCCAAGAGCATTGGTTTGTGTCATCTTCAATTTATTTCATCAATGTTTTATAGTTCTCAGTGTGTAGGTCTTTTACCTCTTTTGTTAGGTAAATAATATCCTAGATATTTTATTCTTTTTGGTGCAATTGTGAATGGAATTATTTTCTTAATTTCTCTTTATGCTACTTCATTATTAGTGTATAGAAATGCTGCCAATTTCTGGGTATTAATTTTGTATCCTGCAAATTTACTGAGTTCCTTTATTACTTATAGCATTTTTTTTTTTTTTGTGAAGTCTTTGGGGTGTTCTATGTATAGTATCGTCATCTGTAAATAGTGATGGTTTAACTTCTTTGCAAATATGGATGCTTCTTATTTCTTGTCTGATTGCTGTGGCTAGGACTTCCAGTACTATGTTGAGTAAAAGTGGCAAGAGTGGACATCCTTGTCTTGTTCTTGATCTTAGAAGAAAAGCTCTCAGTTTTTCTCCATTGAGTAAGATGTTAGCTGTGGATTTTTTTTAAAAATGGCCTTTTTTATGTTTAGGTATATTTCCTCTAAACCCAGTTTGTTGAGAGGTTGTTTTTTTTTTTTTATCATGAAATGATATTGAATTTTATCAAATGTTTTTTTCTGCATCTATTGAGATGATCATATGATTTTTATCCTTCGTTTTGTTGATGTGGTGTATCACACTGATTTGTGAATATTGAACCATTCTTGCATCCTCAAAATGAATCCCACTTGGTTGGGTGAATGATCCTTTTAATGTATTGTTGAATGTGGTTTGTGATTTTATTATTATTTTTTTTAATATTTCATTTATTTGAGAGACAGAGCGAGTGAGCATGAGTGGGGGAGGGGCAGAGGAAGAGGGAGAAGCAGACTCCCTGCTGAGCAGGGAGCCCGATGCAGAACTCAATCCCAGGACCATAGGATCATGACCTGGGCTGAAGGCAGACGCTTAACTGACTGAGCCAACCATGTGCCCCTTTGTTGAGGATCTTTGTAGCCATGTTTTCTTTTTTGTGGTGTCTTTGTCTGCTTTTGGTATCAGGGTAATGTTGGCCTCATAGAATGTATTTGGAAGCTTTCCTTCCTCCTCTATTTTTTGGCATAGTTTGAAGGAAATAGGTTTTAACTCTTCTTTAAATGTTTGGTAGAATTTACCTGTGCATCATTCCGGTCCTGGATTTTATTTTTTGGTAGTTGATTACTGATTAACTTTTGTTAATAGTAATTGGCCTGTTTGGATATTTATTTCTTCCTGATTCAGTTTTAGAACACTATGTGTTTCTAGGAATTTATCCATTTTCTAGGTTGTCCAATTTGTTGACATATAATTTTTCATGGCATTCTTTTATAATCCTTTGTATTTCTGTGATATCAGTTATTACTTCTGTCTTGTTTCTGATTTTATTTATTTGGGTCCTTTCTCTTTTTTTCCTTGATGAGTCTGGCTAAGAGTTTATGAATTTTCATTATTTTTTCAAAGAACCATCTCTTGGGTTTCATTGATGTGTGTGTGTGTATTTGTCTGTCATTTATTTCTGCTCTGATCTTTATTATTTCCTTCCTTCTATTCACCTTGGGTTTTGTTTCTCTTTTTCTAGTTCCTTTAGGTGTAAGGTTAGATTGAGCCTTTTCTTTTCTTTTTTTTTTTTTTTCTTGTTTCTTGAGGTAGGCCTGTATTGCTATATATTCTTAGAACTCATTTTGCTGGGTCCCAAAGATTTTGAACCATCGTGTTTTCATTTTCATTTGTTTCCATGTACTTTTTTATTTATTCTTTGATTGCTTCATTGACCTACTGGTTGTTCAGTATCATGTTGTTTAGCCTTCACATCTTTGTGTTTTTTCTTGTGATTTAGTTCTAGTTTCATACCTTTGTGGTCAGAAAAGATGCATGGTATGAATCTAATCTTCTTAAATTTATTGAGGCTTGTTTGGTAGCCTAACATGTGATCTCTTCTGGAGAATGTTCCATGTGCATTTGAAAAGACTGTGTATTCTGTTGTTTTTGGGTGGAATGTTCTGTGTATGTTGTGTCTACTTGGTCTAATGTGTCATTACAAGACAGTTGCTTATGGATTTTCTGTCTGGATGATCTATCCACTGATGTAAGTGGGGTGTTAAAATCCCTTACTGTTATTGCATTACTGTCAATTTTTCTCTTTGTTAATATTTGCTTTAAGTGTTCCTGTGTTGGATATGTAGATATTTACAATTGTTATATCCTCTTGTTGGTTTGATCCCTTTATCATTATGTAATACCCTTCTTTGTCTCTTGTTACAGTCTTTGTTTTAAAGTCTGTTCTGTGTGATATAAATATTGCTACTCTGGCTCCCCCCCTCCCCAACATCCATTTGCATGGTAACTGTTTTTCCATCCCTTCACTTTCAGTTTGTATGTGTCTTTAGGTCCAGCAGTGCAGCGGAAGCTGAAGTAGACACAACCCAAAGTGTCCCAAGATTCTTTGTGTTGATGGCACCCTGACAGGACAGCTGAAGCTGATGTGGGTATAAGCTGGGGTGCCCTGGGATGCTCTGAGTAAGGTGTGCCCAAAGCTGGAGGGGAGCTGAAGCCTAGGTGGTTATGTTAGGCCAGCAGGTCCCTTAGCTCACTGCACAGAGGATGCCCTGGCAGCACAGCTGAACTGAAGTGGAGGCATGTGGTGGTGGTGGTGGTGGGGCGGTGGTTGGGTCTCTGTATACAGAGGACACCTTGGCAGGATAGTGAAGCTGAAGTAGATATAAATGGCTGTTCCAGGACTATCTGTAAAGAGATAGCTAGAGTTGAGATGGGGTACAGGCCAGGAGATCCTGGGATGCTCTGCTTAGGCGGTGCCTTCGCAGGACAGCTAAAGCTGAACTGGGTGCAAGCCAGGGTGCACCAATGTTCTCAGTGTGGAGGGTCCTCCAGCCAGGCAACTGGAACTGCGTCTGGTACAGGCAGGTGTGTTCTGGGGTGCTTTGCATAGGGGGTGCCCTGTGGGGTGGCTGAAACCAATGCAAGCACTGGCCGGGGTTTCTAGGATCCTCTGTGCAGGGGGCACCCTGTCAGACAGCTGGGTCTGAGGCAGACATCAACTGAAAGGTTCTGGAGCGCTTTGCACCTGGGTGCCCTAATAAGCTGTTTGAAGCCAAAGTGGTGTGGGCCTCTTGTGTTCTAGGGTGCTTTGCACCTGTGTCACCTTGGTGTGAAGGGTGGAGCTGTAGTGAATGCTAACCAGGTGTGTCCTGGTGTGCACTGTCCTTTGGCTGCCTTGGTGGGATGGCTGGTGCTTATGTGGGCTATGGGTCTAGGGCTCACTGAGGCGGCAGGTCAGCTAGGGTACCTGGACCATGCACTGGTCCATGCTTTCAAGGGGGAGCGTAAACTATATCCACCAGACCCTCCCACCCAGAGAGTGTTCCAGCAGCTCCCCTAGTCATCTGGTGGAGTTCTAGTGCTGGCTCTTTTATATGCTAGATGCAATTTTAAACTTTATCTTTTTAAAGAAAAAAAAGGGAAAAAGAAATAGAATAGAAATAAAAGGCAAAAACAAATATAAAAAAGCGTTTTTGTTTCTTAAATTTAACTTTTCCCCCCATGCCCAGGTGCAACTGGGGCTAGTGTGGGCTTGCAGTTCCAGGGTTTGCTGAGGTGTTGAGCCAGTCCCTCTGATCCAGGGAGTGTTCCTGCAGTTCCTTTGCCCTTTTACTTTATTTTTATTTTAAAGATTTATTTTAGACAGAGACAGAGAGCAAGTGTGAGTGTGGGAGGGAAGGGCACAGGGAGAGAGAGAGAGAGGGAGGATCTCAAGCAGACTCCCCACTGAGCACAGACTCCACATGGGGCTCCAGTCCAGGACCCTGAGATCATGACCTGAGCTGAAGTCAAGAGCCAGCCGCTCAACTGACGGAGCCACCCAGGCACCCCTCTTTTTCCCTTTTAAGCCATAGCTTTTTTTCTGTGTCCCAGCACAGCTGGGGCTGGTGTATGCTTGTGGTCCCAGAGCTTACTGAGGTGGCCAGTCAGTTACGGCAACCAGACTCTGCTCTCATCTGTGCTTTTAAGGTGGAAAGGGAATGTAAACCTGTCATTCTTCAGTCCTATGACTTGGAAAGCATTCCCCCCAGCTCCTCCATGGGTTGGCAGAGTTCTAGAACTGTCTCTTTTATATGCTAGTTGCTCTTTTACACTGCCAGGTTTTTTTTGTTGTTGTTTGTTTTGTTTTGTTTTGTTTTTTTCTTCCTGTGCCCAAGGACAGAGGAATCAGTTCTTGGCCCCTCAGCATCATCCCTTTCACTGCAGTTTACAACATCAGGGGTGGGGTTTCCCTTTGTTACCAGGTCTCTGTCTCTCTTGCTGTTCCCTAGTGCCGTTCTCTTTTGTTGTGCAGAAGCTGTTCAGTTGACCCTCAGTTTTTCTCCAGGAGGAACTGTTCTATAAATAGGTTTAATTTGGTGTGTTCCATGAAGGCTGTGAGTTCAGGGTCTTCCTACATCACCATACTGGACTGGAACCACCCTCATTATGTTTGATTTTCAGGATTTTGTCATCAATTTTTCATGGTATATATTTATGATCTGACTATGAAAAATTTCTACTACTGACTCACCATTATAAATATAAAAGTAAAATGAAGCAAAAATACTATGCAAACACAAGTCTAAAGACAACTGGAGGGCCTATATTAGTATCAATCAAAGACATTAGAATAAGGAGAATCACCAGGGATAAATGGGCTCATTTTGTAATAATAAAGGGATTAATTCACTAACAGGACATGAAAGTGTACACATAAAAGAACTTTAAAACATATGAAACAAAAACTGATAGAATGGACAAACCCATTTCTCTATTCTTCTATAGTAATTGTTGGAACAAGTAGAAGATCAGTAAGGATATAGATTTTATCAGCACTGTCAACAGCCTTTCCTTAGTTGACATTTTTAGAACACTCCACCCAACAACAGCGGAACATACATTCTTTTCAAGTTAGTGTGAAACATCGACCAACACAGACCATATTCTGGGCAGTAAAATAAGTTCAGTAAGTGTAAAAAGATCAATTGTACTGTTCTTTGATCACAATAGAATTAAATTAGAAATCAGTAACAGAAAATACCTGAAAATCTCCAGAGTTGGAAATTTAGCAACTCACTTCTAAATATTCCATTATGTCAAAGAATAAGTCATAGGGGAAAGAGAAAATATTGTGAACTGAATGAAATTGAAAACATATTAAAGTTTGTATGATACAGCGAATGCAGTGGTTGGAGGATAAGTTGTAGCTTTAAATGTATATTATAGAGAAAAATAAATTTTCCAAACCAATGACCTGATCTTCCACCTTAAGAAACTAGGGAAAGAGCAAATTAAGACCAAAATAAACAGAGAGAACAGAAATCAATGGATTAAAAATAGCAAAGTTAATAGAGGAAGTATTAATAAAAAACTGATTTTTGAAAAAAGCAATAAAATCAACTGAACTCAAGAAAAACTGTTCAAGAAAAAAGGAGTATCCCTAAATTACCAATGTCAGAAATTAAAAATGGGACATTACTATATGTCCTCTGGACATTAAAAAGATAATAGTCTTGACCAACTTTATGCCAATGTGTCTGAGAACATATATGAAATGTACAAATTCTTCAGAACATACACATAGTCAAAATTGACTCAAGAAGAAATAGAAAATTTCAATAGTTCTATATCCATGAATGAAATTGATTTTGCAATGTAAAACCTTCCTGTTTAGAAAACTCCAGGCTCTCTGGTCAATTCTGTTATGTACTTAAGGAATAAATAATATCAATAACCAATCCTACACTAATACTTCCAGAAAATGGAGGAGGAGGGAAACTTTCCCAACACATTTTATAAAGCCAGATTTTCCTGATACCAAAACCAGGCAAAGACATTAAAGAAAATAACATAGAGACTAATATTTTTCTGAACATAGAAGGAGAAATCTTTAACAAAATATTATTGAATTGAATCCAGGAGTATGTATTAAAAGGGTAATATATAACCTAGTGAAGTTTATCCCAGGAATGCAAGGTTGGTGTAATGTTTTAAAATTAATAAATGTAATTACCATATTTACAGATTAAAGGGAGAAAAAAAACCCCACATGATCACTTTGGTAAATGCAGGAAAAGCATTTGACAAAATTCAACCACTTTATTTGTATAGCAATCAGTCTTGGAAGCTAAAGACAGTGTCTCCTCTGGAGCAAGGACAAGTATGGTAATTGTCCTATATAATAAGGGTAATGTTTCCATCAAGAGCAAAGGGGAGGCATAGGCATGCTTACTGCACTCATAAAAGATTTGGGTTCCCTAAGTTCAGAGTTCTCTCCGGTAATGCAACATGCTGTGTGACCCTTTTCATGCTGCATATAGGAATTGGGGCTTGGAGAATCAATGCAAAAGTGCTGGTGTTCTGGCTACTGCTATTGCTGTGAGCAACAAACTGTTCTTTATCCCTGACCCAGGACTCTCATGTCTTCCACTAGAATCCATGAAACTGTCAGACCAACATTAACTTACAAGTTCAGTGAAATCTCAAGGCTGTTCACAGTTCTTGACAATATAAAAATATATACCTAATTGCAGTTTCTAATTAAAAAATTACTCTAATTACAAGGTAATTATAATCCTATGTAAAAGTGAATTTAAAATAATTTTGTGGAGGGAGCACCTGGGTGGCTCAGTCAGTTAAGCATCCAACTCTTGATTTCAGCTCAGGTCATGATCTCAGGGTCCTGAGATCAGGCCCCACATTGGGCTCTGCTCTTGGTGGGGAGTCTGCTTGAGATTCTCTCTCTCCCTCTATCCCTCCTCGCACCGCCCCCCCCCCAGCACTCTCTCTTTCTCTAATTATTAATTAAAAAAATAATTTGTGGAGAAAAAAGTACTGGACAAAGGATTTTGAAACATTGATTTTAGAAATTTATTTACATATCTTGGATGGAAGCAATTGATACAGTTGACTTGGAATTCCTGGAAAAAAAAGAATTTTTTAATGTGGGAGTGCCAAGTATACTTCAGAAAACAGAAACAAAAACCCTGCTCCCTGCCAAAGTTGCTGTGTGCATATACAATGTATAGAAGTAATATAAATAAAATAACAACATGAGTTTTATCAAAAGAGCAAAATTCCTTTTTTTTTTTAAAGTAGGCTCCATGCCCAGTGTGGAGCCCAATGTAGGGCTTGAACTCATGACCCTGAGATCAAGACCTGAGCTGAGATCAAGAAACAGACACTTAACCAACTGAGCCACTCAGGCGCCCCAAAAGAGCAAAGGTCCTAAATAATTCCAATAGATAATAAATTGGGTACAAATCTTACAAGAATAAATTGTATTCATCTTAAAAGTTTCCTTCTTATTACTGTACTCTGGCTAGTGCCCAATAGGTGAAAAAAATCTTAAACACATCTCTACTAATCCACTGCAATGTTACATACCTTTCAAATCAGGAGCCAAAGGCCTACTCCTAGGACCAGAGGTGTCTTCATAAGTATCACAGTTGTCAAAATGGAATTTCTCTCTTCTTGAAATATAACCCTTTTTTGATAGGTCACTCTGTGGACTGCAGACTTTTTCACTTAGATTTAAATAATCTCTTTGAAGATTCCGCATCTCAAATTCTAAGGT